CATTCGGATAAATTTCGCGTGAATGTTTGAGTTCGATTTAAATCTGTCTGACGTATATATGTGTTTCTCAAATGGTTTCACAAAAGGAACGAGAGAAATTTGTCGAAAAAAACAGGAAAACCCTTTAATACGTATTCATATGATATTGGTAGTTTTGACCCGCATACTCACACACATACACGTACTACACATTTTGGACAATTTTCTTTCATCAATTTTAGCAGGATGGAGGTTGGATCAACACTGATGCTTTTGTGCCAACGCAATGGGATGATGTTTACCACTTCTTATTGCTACTTAATTCCAATGCAATGGTTTTTATCAACGCAACCACCAAACCAAACGGACCAAGTCATCCACAATCTATTTATCCATATGTATCCTTTTCAGTTAAAGATAGAGAGAGAGGGCAAGAAACTTGAAACGTGAAAAACTCGATACAATCGCTTTGAATATTGTACAGATGTTCGGTACGTATAAATGCATACGGGTTGAATGGGAAAGGTGATGGCATAAATGTGACTATATGTATGTGTAAGGACAAATAAAAAGCAACACCATTTACCAAAAACATACACCCAAGGTATAGTAGCAAAAAGAAAACGAAAAAGAAATTATGGATTTCGTAAGTTTATGTGATGAACTTGCTTAAACCAACAGTAAGTAGATTTTATGGTGATCGTGCCGAAGAATTTTCTTCTTTTTATTTCGCCTACCTCATATTTATATTTGATACCACACTCTCTGCTTCCCTTCTGTTTTCGTGTCTCAATTCAGTGTCGAAGTTTGTAAAGTCTCAATTTGATGTTTGATATTTTGTTTTCGGTTATATGATACAACTTGATTCCATGATGAAGGTATTTTAATAAAAACGTACACAGACCCGAGCAATGTCAAACCATGTGAAAGACATAGTACTATCATGTTATATTGCCACGAAACCCTACTATATCCTATGTGGCCTTTCTTTGTTCGTCTTGTGCCCCAACAGCGTTTGTTTCACGTGATATTTATTGCTTGAACTTTGTGCGAAGCTAACATTTTTCTCCGCATTCGCATTCTTCTCGTCGGTTGAAAGTGAAACATTATTGGAGTTCATTCCTTCAAGTATGCAATCGATAAAGCTAACAAATCCAAACTCATTTGCTTACACCACCGAATCTAGTTTCAACGCATTGAATTCCTCCCCCAGTTTTTATAGTTTCATGTTATTCTTTTTTTAAATATATTTTTTTATATTCGGGAATCAAGTGCTCACTTATGAATTAAAAGTAGACAGTATATAAAATGTGCTCTATTCGAATCGGATTAAAATTCGTTCAGACCGGATTAAATTATGTTGACTTGTCAGTTGACACGGACCAACTGATGGTTCACTGTAAAATGCGCTCATGCCCAATGACTGGAACTAAGCAATATTAATGGCTAAAATATATTGTGGTTGTATCGTTTCACTTGGATTTTCTTTACCATCGTTTATGACATCGAACCAATTCGAAACTTTCAACTCGGTGTGTTTGAAATCAATTAGAAATTCATATTTTGACTTTGCAAGACATGCTTAAAGTCGTGGAATGGAAACAATTTAATCTTCTTACTGCACATAATGTGGTGTATGAAAATTCCTCTCGTTATTCGATTAAAATGTTCTATTGTAAAATGATACACACACATATACATGGACATTCCGTGAAAATGTCAGTTCAAAATAAATGAACAAAAGTCCATAGTGTATAATCAAATAATTTGTAATTTTATAGCCATTCCAGTGCAGCACATTCACTCCACTACAGACAATTTATGATATTTTACACATTTACTGGCATGCACAAGAATAACGAATACGAAAACGGCAACCATCCATAAGTGTGCCGCATTCGAATTGCGGCATCGCCTTTGTTCTGCACCTCTCAATGTAAAATAAGCAATTTGGAAAATGAGAATACTGAAAGATGCAGCGGGCCTGAAACAGTTACATACATGGCTGGGAAGCAATATATACACGAAGATGGACATAACGACACTGGTGCGATGAGACATTTTACACGGTTTTCATCTATAAAGTGGCCGAAATTGTTATTAGACGGTTTGGAGTCGTTGACCAAATGGTAACAATGGACGCAAGCAAAGAATGAACGAATTGATGGCCAGTGTGTACACACAAACATGGACCGATGAATTGGACCGGTGATTTTGCTTATATTGCTCTAGCATAAAAGCGTTAATACCAATAGCAATGAAAAAGAAATTCAAAGACGTATTAAACGATGAACAAAACGGGACCATTTTACACGTGTATATTATTGTACGTGCGAGCGATGTAATGAATGATCGTCTTGAATTTATGATGCACCATGCACAAAGGTGTGCGCACTAATGTCTACTGATTGCAAAAATGCCACATGCTCTCACACCTATGTTGTCAAATGTCGTTTAATGGACCGGCTTTAATGTTTCCACATCAAAATCGTAAATTATATGTGTTTCTTCGTGTCCATACAGCATTTCGCTTTGTGTATTATAAAATGTCCATGCTATTCTGTAATTCAAAAAGGTAGGGGCTAGCCCAAACACTCACAATTTACTTTAAATCTTAATAAATATTTCTGGCGATAGGACGAATGACGATTTTCAAAGGTTTCTGATATTCGAGTTGCATTTCTCCATAGAACCATTTACGGTTGACGCGAGACATGTGAAACCAATTGTATTGTAGTCCTTTGATTGTCCCATGTTCCATTTCTTAGCTGTTCACCATCGGCATACGTTATCGCTTCGTCCATTCAAACTGAAGTAGAACATTTTTATGGTTTCACAGTGAAGAACGCACAGTAACGTTGTATGGACTTGCAGTCATTGCTTTGCAATTTAAATGGTGATGGTGGTTGGTGTCGGCAATGCCTCGACTCGGATGCATCGCTATCAAAAACACAAAACATTCACCACAATGGGATAATTTCGTTCTATATTGTTACATGCGACATAACACAACATACAATCGCTACACTCCGTTCCGTTGGATATCTTTATCGCTTTCTCGTTCGTTCACTTCGAATTTTTGTTGGTTTGCACGAAACATTATTATTATTTGAGCTTTCTTAATGCCGTTCATCGTATTAAATTGCCATTATTTCTGTCTACAACCTATCAGTAACAGATAATTTATATGCTTTGCTTCGAAAAAAAGAACAACGAATGCACACAAATAAATCAGCACATTATGCACAGGCAATATTGTCCGGATGTGTTTATATATTATGCGCAAATGTGTAAAGTGTGCATTTTTCATATGTTTACTCATTCCACTCCGTCAAATTTCTTCCACATTTTTCGGGTTTTTCATGTTGGTATATTTCTTGAGAACATATTTTAAAAAGATGCCTACTTACAACATTATTATTACTATGGGCCATGATGTTGTGAAATAAACAAAATAGCTACACTGCAGTTTTATATAACTGAAAATTCAAGCATGGGAAGTTTGCTATAAAAAAGCAGCAATCATTTCTCATAATTTTAATTATGAATGCGTTGCCATAAACTCGCATGCATGCTGTGCCAATGTTCTATCGATCTCCACATGACATTGTTGTGGCAGAGCGCTATTTTGAATTATTACCGCTTCTTTAGTAAACAAGGCAATAGATTTTACTGCTCCATTTCTGTACCGCCATTTTGTAGGCATTAAATCCTCCTTGATTACTTCAAAAACCAACAAATTCAATTTGTATAAGTTTTACTTTGTGTGCCGTTTTCAACCACAACCTCAGGCCCGTTCGCAAACGATTTCACATCGATTGAACCTATAAAATACACTTCAAACTTATCAAATGCAATCAAAAATGTCGAATATGCCTTTTCTGAAACTGTCATTCAACTTTTCACTACAGAATTCCATTAACTCTCTCTCTTTCTCCCACACAAATATTTGTATATTTTGTTGTATTACACGCGCCTTCCCAGAGTAAGAGCTTTCAATGTGCTTCAGCACTGTTAAATGGTGAATTTCTCAAGAGCTCTCATAGCTAGCTATGGATGTTCGGAGAATTTGCTTGCGAAACTTTACTCGGATAAATATCTGATTAGTTTGTTAACTTTTATATGAAAATTAATCAAAACATAAACATTTTAATTTTCACGCATCGCACTTTATATGCATGAACATCAGTATCAGTATTTTCAAAATTGTATATTTTGTTGATCGCATAACATCTTCAAGTGATTTACAAATCAATTAGTACACAGTTACTTTGATGAGCTCGGTGATATATTGCCACGAAATTGTGAACATTAAAAATCGTGCAATTATTTTTCATTCTATTCGCCAAACATAAAAAATCATCGAAATCGAAGTGTACAAATTTAGACAATTTATCAGCTGTCTACACAAAAAAAACGTGCAAAATGAAAAACGAAACCATAATCGACTTTGATTCCATATTTTCAGAATATTTCGATGGATTTCCAATTTATCAATATATCAAGATACTTGATCTACCGCCGTTGTTTTTCGTATTCTTTGGAGTGTTCGGTGTTTTGATTCTACTGTGGATTTTTCTAATTGTGTATGGATTGAATAATGTTATTCGTCAACATGCAACCGAACTGTCAAAAGCATCAAGAGAACGAAACGTTTCATCTGAAAGACTACGTGGTAGCATGAAAAACACCAACATAAATGACGCGCATGGAAACGTTTATGCACATCTACATACAAGACGACCAAAGCAGTGAATGGAATTCATCTCTTATTTGTCGTTTATTCGAAAGTAGAAAAATCAAAATGTGTTTACCGATAAACAAAACCAAATATAATATAAAAAAAGTAAAAAAACCTTTGTTTCTTTTGAGATTAAAATTCCTTGAATCATTCATAATTTGACATGTCAATGTGAACTATATTTTATTCAGAACTTATTTTTTTTTGCTTCAAAAACAAAACTATGTATGCGATGCGAAATGTGTCAAATAAAAATCAGTTATTAGTTTGAAAACAGCAAATCAGTCAAGATCATTCGCACATATATAAGAAATATGGATTCTATAATAACACATTTAAAACACATGTTCGGACACTTTGAGTCAAAATGGATCGCACTTACGAATTTTCCCAACTGGACCGCAGTACCGGCATTAATTGGAACGATTACGCTAACATTATTGGTATTAAAAAAAGTTGCACTATAACGTAGCAATATTCCGAGAGGCAATGACAAGTGAAATGTTACAAATACCACAAAAAAGGTTAGCAAAGTAGAGTTTTTTGTGTGTTAGTTGATTGAATTTCATATATCTTTTCACTTCTAGATGACAATGAACTTTATCGTCTGAATACAATTTTAAGAGACTCCGACACGTCGTCGGCGACAACCATGAAAAATATGTGATGATTTGGTATTTTGTTTCATTAACATTTGGAAATGCAAAAATAAAAATTCTAGAAAAAATTCCAATTATTATCGTTTTAATTTGAGAGAAATCGTTAAGGAATGTTTCTATAAAATATTAAAGAGTATCAATTGAAAATGAATAAATGTTAATCTGAGATCGCTATCCGCTGAAATCGTCTGTAAGTAGGAAAAATATCTGGTGCAATCAGACATTTTATTGAGATATTTTCAGCCAGCTGAACCAGTTCAGGAAGCTGAAGTCAGGCGTTGAAAGAGAGTGAAAACCTAGGTGAAAACAATAGAAGTGATTGTAGCAATGTAAGTAATCATAACAATTCCTTCTATTGTTTTCACTCCGTTTTAGTGCCTGACATTAGCTTGCTAAGCTGAGTCAGCTGCCTAAAAATATCTCAAAATAATGTCTGGGTGTAATTAAAAAAGTTAATTATAAATCAAATTGGCTATTGTGTTTTGATAGTTGAATAAACGTTTGATATAAATGAACAGTTGTGTCATGATTTTTGTTTATGTTGAAAATAAATTTCCATTCACTAGCTGCATGCAAAATTGCATTTTATAAAAAAACACATTCAAATAACAAAAAAATCATGAATTAAAATTCGCAGAATACATTGTCGAATACTGTATTAACATTTTTACATCTTTAAAAGTCATTAATGTTTATAGTTGATTTTTTTTTCTTTCTTCGACCAAACAGAATCGTGAGTATATAACATACGAAGGTTATCAGGTGACGTCACGGCAAATTACTTTATAGAACATACTTATAATTTTTTATCAACAATACATAATGTTTTTTACATACGGTATACATATTTGAATGTAAGATTTTTGGTGTACCGTTATGACAAGTTTAACGACTATATATAGCAAATGACAAAATTGAAATACTATAAGAGTATGAAAGATTCGAATAAAAGATTTAGTCGCAAATCAGACATTGTTTAGTAAACTTCATTTCTCTACAAACTTCTCATCAGATCATATTATTGTGAAATTTAGTTGCTTGGTGGCTTTTATTCTAACCGGTTTGTTTTTTTAAGTGTATTTTTTCATTCGTTCTGATTTTTATCCACATTTAGTCACAAGTATATGCTTTAATAATATTTTGGTACATTCGCTTACCTGTTTTGGCCACACCGTACTCTCATTATTTTTTTTATAAATGTATCCCACTTACATTTGAAAAAATCTATACAGTGATAAACATTTTTGTATAATATACTCGGTATATTTTTTCAGTGTTGTTCAATTTTAGTTGAAATAGACGATAATAATAAATAACTACCACAACAATTTAATCAATCAGTATGACGAATTCACGATAAGAAGTTTACTTAAAAGATTACATAACTAATATCAAAATAAAACTTATAAAAAGCGAAGAAGGGCAAACGAAAAATTATAACTCATTTCAAATCTATCTGAAAAAAGTTTTAACAGTTTAATTATAATTATTAGGCTTATTTACTACGGGCAACATGAATTACGTCGTAGTGCTTGCTTGTTTAATATTTAATGTGGTAGGTTGACAATATAAATATATATTCACCTATTTTCGTCATATTTATATTCAAAATTAAACAAATTATTTTGATTTATTTAAAACACACGAAAATCTCATTATTATTCCATATTTATATTGTCATTTTCGTTATTTAAGTTACATTCGGTCCAAACTTTCGATCAAAATATTGAGGAGGAAGAGATTCGAGCAAGAGCATTTTTGAATAATTTAAATAAAGAACTCGTAGAAAAATCAAACAAACTGGTCGTGGCAGAATGGAATTTTTCGTCAAATGTTACAGAAGAGAATGAACAAGCAAAGGCTGCAGTAGCTGCTGAAACTGCTGAATTTCATAAAGTTCGTAGTCTCTTTGGGGATTTTGATAAAAACAGTAAAAAAAAAATTAAAATGTGATAAATATAAAATTTGTTATGTTGTAGGAACAAGCAAAAGAATTGTTAAAATTCGATAACAATGCATTCAAAGACGAAGACTTGAAGAGACAATTTAAATTATTATCAAAGCTTGAATATGCGGTGCTTCCAGCTGACAAGTTTAAACAATTGAAAAGTGCCATTAGCTCTATGGAATCTAATTATGCAAAAGTACATGTTTGTTCATTTACAAATAAAACAAAATGTGATTTGCAGTTGGAACCAGGTATTGTTAATAACCAAAGAACATGCTATAGTTTTTAGTCCAACCAATTGATATTTTATTCCAATTTTAAAGAACTAACTGAAATCTTAAAAACCAGCAAAAATCCGGAGGAACTTAAATATTATTGGGAACAGTGGTATGATTTGGCTGGAACTCCAACGCGTAAAGATTTCGACACATATTTGCAGCTGAATAAGGAGGCAGCAAATTTAAATAATTTTACATCCGGCGCTGAAATGTGGTTGAATTATTATGAAGATGAAACATTTGAAGCACAATTGGAGAATATTTTCAAAGAAATTCGTCCGTTGTATCAACAATTACATGCCTACGTTCGTCATTCTTTGAAAAAAACATATGGCGAAGAGATTGTTGAGGATGGACTGATTCCGATGCATTTGCTGGGAAATATGTGGTATTTAAATATTTCGCTGTTTTTTTTCTTTGTTTCTATTCACTGTCAGAAGTTAAAAAAAAATCTTTTTTTTAACAGGGCACAAAGTTGGGATAACATTTACGATGACACTGTTCCATACCCCAGTAAACAATCAACAGATGTCACCAAGGAAATGATTGCCCAAAACTATACCGCTTTGAAAATGTTCAAATTGGCTGAGGAGTTTTACGTGTCGTTGAATATGAGTGCATTACCACAGTACGTCTTTCATTAAAGCATTCATGCATTTGATTCAAAACTAATTTATTGTTAATAAATAGGTCATTCTGGGAGCAAAGTATTATCGAAAAGCCAACGGATGGAAGAGAATTAGTTTGTCATGCTTCAGCTTGGGATTTCTACAAAAATTCAGACGTTCGAATCAAGATGTGCACTGAAATCAATGGGGAGGCTCTTGCTACTGTCTTCCATGAAATGGGACACATTTACTATTTTTTGCAATATGAACATCAACCAGTATCTTATCGTACAGGTGCCAATCCAGGTGAATATCAAATTATCAAAAACACTTTAAAATCCATCGACATCTCAACATTTTCCCCAACATTCATATAGGTTTTCATGAGGCTATAGGAGATTTGTTTGCCTTATCAGCGTCGACACCTAAACATTTGCAAAAAATCGGTCTTTTGAAAAATTATCAGCCTGACAACGAGACCAAGATCAACGAACTTTACCGCGTGGCATTGGATAAGATAGCATTCCTGCCGTTTGCCTATTCACTCGATCAATATCGATGGGCACTATTTCGTGGAGAAGTCAAGTCAGACGAATATAATTGTAAGTTTTGGCAGATGCGTGAAACGGCATCGGGCATTAAACCTCCAGTACAACGATACAAAGAAGATTTCGATCCACCAGCAAAATATCATATTTCAGCTGACGTCGAATATTTACGGTAAATTCAATCGAAATTCATTTAAATAAAAAACAATTTGAAGTGTAATAACATGGTTTTGTCTTCGTTAGCTATGTGATATCGTTCATTTTGCAATTCCAATTCCATAAAGGCGCTTGCACTTTGGCAGGAGAATATGATCCAAATAATGCGAACAGCGCATTGACCGATTGTGATATATATGAAAGTACAAAAGCCGGAAATGCCATCAAGTAACTTTTTTCGCAATATTTTTTTTTCAAAACTCCCTTTTTTCAATTGGTTTAATTTCTGGTATGATTTAGGGAAATGTTGTCATTAGGACTATCGAAAACTTGGCCAAATGCGCTCGAAATTGTTACCGGCCAAAGAACAATGAGCGCATCTGCTTTAATAGAATATTTTAAACCTCTCCAAGATTGGCTCGAGAAGAAGAACAAAGAAACTGGAGCTCATATTGGATGGAAATCGGAATTTGGTAAGCTTTTTTTCAAATCAAGAAATTGATTGGTCCAAATTTATATAAATAATCATTTTTTTCCTTCGCTACAGAGTGCCTGTCAAAGCCTGATGCGGAAAAGCCAAATGGACCTTAAATATTAATGATTAACATTTGTTTGTGTCTGTCATATTATAAAAGGCTTGATGTCGAAAGCATTACAACAGTACTTAAACATTTACATTTTCAATAAATGAATAAAGAAAGATAAAATCATTCACAATAATAAGTTTTATAATGAGTTTCTTTTTATGTAGAATTTCCATTATAGAAGAATTTAATTTATGTAATAAAGCAGAACATTTGAATTTTCTTATAACGACATTTGATATATATCACAACAATCAGTTAAAAGAAGAGCTAGAAATCGTCTTTGGAGTGCCACATACAATCAGTTAACAAGTACAAATAATTTACTGAATTGTTTCTACACTAAACTGCATGCTTCAGTCTGAATCATTTGATTTCAACAGAAGCCAAATATTATCTGATTGAATGTTGTTGCGCTGTTGGAATTCAATTGCTTAATTGCAGTCATCTCTGCTAACGAAGTGCTATCCATCATTGACCACCGTTTCATTTAATATTACCACTAAGAATCTTGTCCATTTGGAATTTGTTAACGTTTACAAACAAATTGGTATTTATATATATCCTGCGGTGAGGAATTAATTCAGAATGACATTAATTAATTTCGTCTGTTACAAATTACCAAGCATAAATGCAATTCTTCATCCAATTCAATTCACATTGATGCAATGCTATGCATTCTATGTAATGGTAAGTGTAAAAAGAAAACTACAATGCCTTTATTCAAAGAAATCTCATTCGATGTAATATACTACAAAATTCATTTTACAGTTTCCACTTTGGCACTTCTTTAGTCCATTTGAGGTAGCCTTTCAAAGCATGAAAGCATGATGCTTGACAACCTGGATTTCACATTTCGGTTTTCATTGAGATTGGATGCCGTGATGAGTTCGGTTGCCATCGCAACTTTAATTTGAGAAAAAGGAAATGAACGTTACTCATTGACACCACATGAAAAACGAAGTTCAATAGAAACGCAAAGACAAAAAGATGGACGAGCGATGTGGCAAAGCTCGGTGGATTTATGCAGTGTATTGCAACAGTTTGAAAGAAAACCGCACAATTCAATTTAAATTCAATGAAAAAAAAAAACAAGTTCAACACGAAACTTTTCAAATAAAAGAAACTATTCAAACTTTGCAGTGTTCACTCCCATGCTATCTCCTCACCACAATTTCGTATTCACTTTTAAACAATGCCGAGACATCGACTTGTCTAAATCAACCCGCAAAGAAACCATAACACTTTTCGTTAGGTTCGTACATTTCTTTTTGTTCACCGTTGACCGAGTGTTGTTGAAATTTTTTGCTGATTAAAAGTTGTGTTTAACTTTGTCAGGTCGCGTGTTTGGTATGGTATAAATGCATTTTTTTTGCATTCATCGTCTTAGCTAGAAGATAAGTGGGTGCTTTTTATCGATTCAAGTATTCCAGCATAGAAATGAAGTGTTACATCTATTTCCACAACTTTAGTCTATTTCTTGGATTTTCATTTGCACCTTGACATCAACAGCCATGAAACTTGTTAAAAGTCGTTTGAATGCAATGTCTATACGAACAAAAATGTCATTTGCTGTAGCGTGCACATTGCACAGCACGGGAATTGAGTGTACTCAAATAGAAACACCGTCAAATTAAATAAAGTATTAACTTTTTCAAGAGAAATAATAAGCAATCGAAAAGGAAAAGTCATTGCATTCACCTCTATATGCTGCGCATTTTCATTTAAAGTAACAGTATTATTGGTGAACAAGAGTCCAATGGATGTTATTCAGAAATTCATTTTCTTTTTTCAGCAAAGGGATTGTTCATTATTATGTTATCATAGACTAATGAAGTACATCACACATGTCATTTGTTGGATTTATCAATTGAAATGCTATAGTTCTTGACAGTTCACTGCACGGCATCGCATGCCAGAGGTATTAGGTGCCAAATTACATTTTTCACATCCACTTTCAACACATTTTAATGATGCAATGAATTTCGCATATAATTTTGTTGGCGCATTGAATGCGTAGATATTCAAGAAAAATAATTCACTCTTATAAATTTCAATCGTGCAATGTTACGTAAAATCTTGCTTTTTCGCATACACCCAGTGCGATTCGTACAATGGAATTTAATATCTTGACAACGGAAGAGAAATGTGTTACAATATTGTAAATTTTTCCACGACTGTATATATTTTATAATAGAAAATTGCCATGTGAAACGTAATTGCGTGTTTTGTGTTTCCGTTTTCTTCATCTGTCAAGTTAAGGATTTTAAGTTAAGTTTTTATCACACCATGAATGTGTTACCATCACCACCATCACCCGTGTCGAACAAAGTTGAAGCGTTATTTCGGTTTTAAAGAGAAAGAGCGGAAGCGAAAAATAGTTAACAAATAAAATCAAAATTGCTCGACTGAACAATTCATGCTGACTTTAATGTACGGCATAAAGTCAGGTATAATTTGCGATGCACAGTATTAAATCAAAAACACTCGCCTTACTGTTAGATGATTTTTCGACGATTTGACATGCCAGCAACCAATTCATAACACAAGCAATAGTTCTCTCTCTCTACAATAAATCAACACCTTGAACACATCTCTCGGAATCGCTCAAGAACATTTACCTGCGATCAATCGGGGACCGAAAGAAAAGAAGATGAAAACCCACATTTTCCGTCTGCACAGTATTCACTTATTAAATTGCATGGAAAATTCTCTACCAGATTCTTTATACATACAAAGCAACGATTCATTTCCTCTTGACGACATGTCGTTCAGTCAAAACGCATTTCAAAAGTGATTTCCATCAATAACATATGGAAAATTCCACGTACATTACACATGAAATTGCAATATTAAATGAACAATCGCAAACGTAGTTATCGTAAAATTCACTCAAATAAATAAATTCGGAGCTGATTTCTCGTTTTTCTCCGTTGTGCTTGTACTATGCTAACGAAAAATACATGTAAAATGTTGCAAATGAAGAAAAATAAAACAAAAAACAGTACTCTAGTATGCGTGCGTGTGCTCATGACGAACATTGCATGTGTGTGTGTAGTCACGCGATCGGTGAAATGTTGGTCCTTAGAGTCGCTGAGTGAAAAGCAAATAAGCGAATTTTGGATTAGGTAGAATGAAGACCGGAATTCATGACCATCAACACGACACTCAACGTGTATTTTTTTTTGGCATGTTGCGTGCGTTTACAGGCCGGGCATAAAAATCCACATCCATCGAAACTAAATTGAATGAAATAAAGAGCACACAAAAAAATTACCAACAAACCATAAAACACATCGCGAACACAGTTTATTCGCTTCGTTTGAGGTAATATGCATGCACCTGTGCTCTCTCTCTTCCTGCACTGAATGGAATTCACACAAACGTTCGCTTCCGAATGCTTCCCGATGCATTCAAATATTAAATAAGTGTCGTTGGAAACGAACGGGAAAAAAATGAAGAAAACATGTACAGTATGAAAACTATACGATGTGCAGAAGAGTTTTCGTTTGTATTCCTTTCTTTTTTTTTGTTATGTTTTTTCCGCTTTCTTATCGAACTTTTTTTCTTGCCTGTTTCTTTTTTGTTGGTTTTGGCTCATTTCCGCTTTCCGTCGAATTGTTTCGGCGAAATTCGCTATTCATAAGCGCACGTTCGCCAAGTAAATTTATCCAGTTATTATATTTATGTTTATTGTTATTTCCAGTTGGTTGTTTCTTTAGCCACACACGTCTGGCCACAGTCAGATGAAACTTTTAAGCGGGAAGGAAAATTAAGCGAATACATTGGAATTGAACGCTTCAATACGCGGAACCAAGACACACAGGGAAAAAAATGAAAAGAAACTCAATTCAGGCGGGATTATTGATCAACAATAAAGTTTTACTAGAAAATTACACACATTAATTTCGACTAATGGCTCAGAATTGGAAGTGTTGAATAGATGAAGTAACAATGGCAACATGAAGAACCCTCAAAAACATTTTTTTTTTATTATAGATTAGATTAAAAGTGGATTACATTTTGTGGCGTTAGTACTTGTAGATCGTGACACAGAGCAATAGCTTTCCAAGTTCGATGCGCATAGATATACCGTGTGCGAATGAGTGAACACAGCACATGTTGTATTTCAACAATTTTCGGTAATTTTCGAATAAGATCGTAAATTAAATGTAATTACTTTTTAAATATTTCTCGACAACTCTGAGCATGCTAGTATGGTAGGTTTTTGAAGAAAAAAAAAACCAACGAATCGACTCCGTTCACCGACCTTGCGGAACATACATTAAAAAATATTCACGCAAAAGTTTCCCCCCATTTAAAACCAACGCGCAGTGTCGACGAAACAATTTCATAATTTTACTAATGAAAAACCATTTAATACAGTTGTCGAAGTTTACTGTTCATATTTTTTATTTCTTTAATGGTGCTTGTTATCTTGGTATTTGAAAATGTGAAAAGTAATTTGATGAAAGATTGCTAAGAAAATATTGTGTCCCAAATTGCAGAGTCTAATTATTGTGTGCATGGTTTTTCGATTGATATCGTTAAGAAGTGCCCAGAACTGTGTGACTGAAATATTCATTTGTGTGAATAAATCAATACCGAAAGCGGAAAGCAGACATTAGGTTTGAGCTATGGATATAGCGGCTGCTATTTCATAGCTGCTATTCATAGGCGCTATTTATCTCGTTTTAATGCATTTATGCATATTGTGCGTTATTTTCTACATCTCTCTCGTACTCACATTCAAATGTACAAAAGAATAGTAGGCTATGATATTCCTACTCGGTGTTACACACAGCACACGAATTAAATAGCGCCTATGAATAGCACCTATAAAATAGCAGCCGCTATATGCATAGCTCGAGCCTAATGTCTGGCGGAAAGAAACAGCAAAAATTTGACTCACACAGCCAAATGGAGAAAAAATAAGTAGCACTTTCATCATAAAATGGAAATTAGTCGAAATTAACGGTTCCAGATTTTGCAAAAAAAAAAAACCAAGAAGGTATAGCCTGAACTTATAATTGTGCCAACAAATTACGGAACTAATGTGCAACGCTCTGTTGAGCGTTCTTACTACAAAATCACCGTTTCACCGCGTACATAACATATGAATAATAAGTGAAGCAGCCAAGCCCTATTAAATAAAAAAAAAAAACGTGAAAAATACTTTAAAGAGTGTTTTTTTTTTGTTTTAATGCGAATCAGTTTCCTTTGTTGAATTTTTATATTGAAGTTTCATGTTGAAATTTTATCATCAATTTTTTTTTTTTTAATTTTTTCCATATTCTCTTTAGCTCTTTGGATCAGGATTTATTTTCCATTTTCTCACGGTTTGAACTTTCACAGAAATAAAAAGTTTTTAATTGAAAATGAAAACCCTTTTTTTAAACATTTATATCCATAGAATAACGATTCTTTGGTTAAACGGTTTTTTTAAAATACACATAACTACGTAAAGAGTTAATAAAAGAAACTTTAGCTGTACTTTTATTGACGTTTCTGTCCTCATCATACGATTAATGTGCGGTCATAATTCCTTTCAATTAAGTTTTATCGAGCAATTTTGTATTTCGATCGGTAATATCCGATCCTGACTATTAAATTAAAAATAATTCAAATTCCTCCAAATTTCTCTGAATCCAAAATCGTTCGAGTAATTATTATGTGAAGAGTAACATTGTTTCAAATTCAGATGTATTTGTTAATGAGCAAAATCTCATTTGTTTTCACTGTCAAAAATCTTCATGAATACAAACCATTAATTTACACAGTGTATCGTGAGGTTTGTGGTAGGGTGACTCTATGGACAGAGATAAAGTAAGTTCGTAGCAGCATTTTTTTGAAGATTGATTAATGTTGCGTTGTCATTTTGGTTGATTTTGTATATCATGACCACGAGAAGAAAAATAAAACAAAATGTTGGAAAATGTAACAAACTTTTGTTTCGTTGTTGATATATTTACCAACCGAACAACAAGATAAAAACATCATGGATAATAGCAGTCGTATCTTGTTCAACTATGGCCACCACTGTCAGAGAGAGAGAGAGAGAGAGAGAGAGAGAGAGAGAGAGAGAGAGAGAGGAGAACACCAGGTGAGGTAAATTACGTTAACAAAATATGAAAGACAAAACGACGAAGAATTTCATTTTGCAATGTCGAAGAAAACTCCCTCTGAAAAATCTGACATTCCAAAACAAATGCGCCATTACTTTGGCCGAGATGAAATGAGGCGAGAACGCATCGCAGAACATCCATGATTTAAGCGAAATAAATTTGGAATGAGAATATAATGCGTTTAACAAACAAGCGCGTACGCAAAAAAGATAATAACATCGAAAACTTACTACTTCACAATATTTACCTTTGTATTTTTGTAAATGGCTCTTGTTTTGCGCTCTTTTTCTTCACATTTTCCTCACGCCTCATCTTGAAATGGCGACGAATCTCACTTCAACGGAAAATCCGAACAATGAATGAATGAACATACTGAAATATCGAGCGATGCTCCGAACAAAAGCGTCGGAATTAAATAGCGCTTTGAAACACATTTTTTGACGCATAAAAGATCCAGTTCATATTCGAATACAAGCTCTTACAATCTCTATATGCAATGCCGTTACAAACAATCCAACATTCAACACAAAAAAAAATCTGAAGAGAACAAGAAATCGCGATGTACAACAAGATAACGGTGCCAACCGGAGCTCTACTTTATCATTTTTCAATGTACAAGTTGCTCATTTGTTTTTCACATTGTGCGCTTTGGTTGGTGCTCTTTTTGTGGCCTTTATGCTTGGTTTTGTTCGTTATGAACTCGTACTAGTCTCGCTTTTTATGCGCATATTTCTATTGACTTTGTTATTAGCATTGTGCATCACGACTTTTTACATACGATACAAAGTATCGAATGGCACAAATAGAATGGAGTCATGTTCTTGTCGGATTTGCAATTAATATTTCATGAGCGAGGGGAGGCATAGGTGTGTGTCTCTATACCTACATATATCGTATATGATATACAATGTATTAAAATGCAAAATGCATGCTTTTGAAAGTCATTCACACGCTGAGGCTAACCATGGTATTCGTCTTTTATGCGCCCGCTGTTTTCAATGACGTCTTTCTGTGGCAAAAAGTTTTTCATGCAAAGCCGCCCTTTTTTCTCAACAGATGCCTACTCGTTTACAGCCTGATTTGTACGCCTGCCATTTGCGATATGCAAGGATGCTGGTCGATTCATGGAGCTGTTAGTTAAAACTTAAAGGACATTCACAACAAGCAATCGAAATTTCTATAGCAAGTCATTAAAACAAAATGAACAATTTGATAATAGAAGTGAAAAATGTAGAGACTGATAATAGTCTGGCATACGTATGAAAATATGTATAAACTGTGCTGAAAAGTGCGATGGGTATGACGAAATCGTGTAAAATTTAATTTGGGTCCTAGTGGCAAAAGTCAATTTGGATCCCAACCGAAAACGACTTCATTTAAATGGCGCACGAATTCATGGACCATTTGGATCTCAGAGACCATTGACGTGCTTGACCTTTTGAATACCACTCAATGTCTATTTTGTATATGTAGATGTGGCAAAGTGACCGCACACCATCATAAATTCCATTGAAAACGACATTTGAAAATGGATCTGTTCAAAATAATCAAAATGAGCCCAAAATGACATAGATTTTCATCGTATGAGAGATTTTAGACACAATTCCATTTTGAGATAGATTAACATTTTTTTCTCTGGCCAAGTTTTAATATGCTCTTACAGAAAATGTGCTCATTTCCATATGTATTGTACAACAATAAAATATAATACAGAATATTACAAATTACAATATTCGAATCCTTTTTTTTACACTGTAGATAATTTCAAAATCGATGTGCGTTTGCTCGAGTGCAAACATAAAAAATTTACATTTTATTGTTACGATGCAAAATACTCAGCTAAGCTCACATTCGAATATCAAGTGCTTTTTTACGTGGTAAATTCGATGCTGTGCCAATCCAAGTATATGCATTCAATACAGTCGTAAAAACCATTCACATTCGTTTCATTTTATTCACTTCGGTGTTTACGCACTGGTTTGGGCCTATTTAGGTGTGATGTAAGCGTATTGTTCAAACCAGCGACTACCAAATACTTGACCACGTATAAATGAAGAAAAATTGTATGCAGATGTGAAATCCATCAATGTCAGAGCACGTGACGTTGACTAAGTCAAGCGATTCACCCCTCGAATGTAGACACTCACTCTCAACATGCTCATTATATTTTAATCAATGAATAGCTTCGACAAAAACATTTCTTTTTTTTTGTTTAAAACAAAAGAAAATTGAATTGGTTGTTTCATCTATTTTTAGGCATGTGCGAATATGAGAGGTGTGTTTTTTTTGTTCAAAAAGCCAATTCAGCATTTATTGCTTCGTTAATTTATTGAAAGAATAGAGTCTACATGCCCATTTAACAAGGGATGTGCAAGATTAATAAATTATTTTTGTTAAATTTCTATGACGCGTGTCAGAATGTGATGGGGTTATTGTTATTTCAATTTTCCACTTTTAAAACAATAAATTTTCTTTGTTATTTCGAACATGAGCAAATCGGTGCTGCTCGATTTCAATATGAACGTCCTCATTATTTGAGTGTGCAATACGAATTCAATGAATTTTCAATACCAATCGTTTGCCTGTTTACTAAAGAAAACCAATGGCTGAAGTGAAATGGATAATTTATCTTCTAAAATTAATTAGGCGCAGGTGATAGTTTTCTATTTCAATTTTTAGTTTACACATCATTCATTTCAATTTGTATTTTTACTTTAATTTATTGGATACTTATTTTTTTGATTTAATCGAGAATTGTCGTCCACAATTTGTGGAATTAATTGAATTTTCAAATACATTTTTTGTTCCATAGTTTTAATGTTTTATTATGCTTTTGTTGAAGTCTTGAATAGCCTTACGCCCTTGTTCGCTTGCATATTTACCCAATTCACCAGGAATGAGCAGATGCACGGCGCATTTTAAGTCATTATCGGTAAGAATCGCCGATTTTTGAACTGGTTTCAAATTTCGCCGTAAAATATTAGACGCTTCACGCGCCAGACGATCAAACACATCCAACACAAGATCATTTACAATGTCCAATGCTTTTTTATTGATGCGCAACTCACGGCCATCTTTCCTCATCACCTAATATTTTAAACGAATGAATAGAAATCGTATGAAATTCTACACTTTTGAATGTTCTCTTTTTTTGCACCTTGAGAATGTAAGGTCGTAAATTTCGAGCATTCTTCTTGTCAACTCTTTTGGCTGTCATCGTTTAATCGTTGAAACTTCGAGTGTAAAAAAACTGGAAATATTCGGTTAAAAAAAAACGATTTATGAATGTGCTGTAATATATTCTTGTTCAATTAATCATATCGAATCCAATCACTTAAAGGACTACTTGATTTTTGAAATGCATACAGTCTAATTTGAAAGATATGACTGCTCAAAATGAAACATTTACCTAAATTAAAGCAAGCCAAATATACTCGTCAAAGCAAAATCAAAAAATATGTCTTCGTTATATCAAAAATTTATTGGATGTTATTTTAATCAAAACAATCTACTTACTGCTATAAATTACCAAATACAATATCATTCAATATTTATATGGAATAGGTTGGATAAAAAAGAATATAACTAATTATTTAATGCTTTGAGATGGAGTGCATTTATCTTTTGTGCGAAGAATCTTGGGTTTGTTTGAGGTATTGTTGGGTTTTATTGCGTGGAAAGCAAAGGACGGAAACAATAATTTATGCACAATATCGAACATGGCCAAAATGAAGATAAAGTAACAAATGGTTTTGTTGCTCTCTTTTTGTAACATAAGAAGCAACAACAAACCAAATGATGCATAAATAAAGTGAATGGCAAGTGTGACAGATTGGAGCGTCTAACATTTGAGTTGCTCTCATTTATCCATCCACCATTGAAATATAATATAAAAGAGAGACAACAACTGTTGAAATCGCCCATAAAATATCGTCAGAAATTGCGTGTATCATCATTATAAACGAATGAAAATAAAATGCCATCGTTGTCGTCGTCGCTGCTGTTGCCGACGCCGTCAATGTTTCTGTCGTCGCATCAGCAAACCAAGCCATTTCAACCAATCGAATGGAACAATGAAAATTATTATCGTATTTATTCCGTTATGTTTTCTTTACTTTGTCCATCGATTCGTTGGAACTGAACGACGAGATATATTTCGGAGGAAATGCGAAACAAATATTCTATCGACAGAGAGAAAGAGAACAAAAAGAGAATAGATAGAGGCTCGTTTTTGGTAATAATGTGAGTTACCACTTACAATAACATTGATTTGTACTTGCAAAACCCATCAGGGGTGCAGCAGTACATTGAAATCGGCGACTTGTAAGTATACAATAGCAATGTGTCCGATCCCGATGTGTCCCATTCCAAACGGGAAACTGCCAAAATATAATAATAACAACAACAATTAGAACGAAATGGTAGCTGCGACGGCGACGTCAATAGAATTAAAGCAAAATAAGCGCATCGACCCCTTGCGAAGTATATTCGACACTGTGCTGTTTTACATACTCCTTCTCTCTCTCTCTCTCTCTCTCTCTCTCTCTTTCGATACGCATTAAAAAAATAAGGGTGCAATTTGGTATTCATGCAACTCGCACACATAAACACACATACATGCACACGCAATACACACATGTATACACTGGCGACAAGGCCCAGCACCAGAACCACGCGATCGATTGACGAAGTGTGTCGTGTGCTCGATATTTATCGGATAATACCCAAGCATTTTCGTTTTTTTTTTTTGTTTTGTTTTTAATTTTAATGCAGTTTCTCTATTCGGAGTGTCGTTTGTCTTTCTAACGCAGTTTAACGAACATGCTAAACGTGTCTGTTTGGTGTGGTAATTTTGAAAAAAAAAAAAAAAAAAAATAGGAAGAGAAAAATGCATTAGACCCCACAAACAGCACGTACATATATCGCATTGAATGTAACCACACGAAGCAACGGTAAATTTATTTAGTTCAATGTTGTTCACCTCCGTCTGTTTTTTTCAATTTCTCTTTTATTGCTCTTATTTTTCCACTTTCCTCATTTTACGCCGCGCGTATTTGTCTGCGTATTTTATTCAAATGGAAACATACTTTTTCCATATAATTCACAATTTACCACACGACCAAAGCGCTGGGCAAAGACGAATTCATTTCAAATATGTATATATACGTAAACCAAGTGAATTGTGTGGCACGTAAACATTGGCGGATGGAAAAGAAGACGAAATATAACAGGTAGAAAGAATGAGAAACATAAACCTGAATTACATTTGTCTATGGTAAAACATTGTCGATTCGTGCTGTTTGGCATTGGTGGAAATGCGGAAAAAGGTACAGCGTGAAATATTCATAAAACTTTCATTGAAATTCGTACATTTTTCATTTGATATCCGTGGTTCGCGTGTGTGTAAACTATGCAACAACCACCACAGCAACAAAAGCAACATCATCAGCAGCACCAATCGACTCAAGCGATAGAGTGGAGAAAAGACGGCTCATATTCCAGTAAATAACCTTTTAGACTCGACTAAAGAAATGAGCAAACCGAAATGTAAACAAACGAGTATAAAACAAACTCGGGCATGGATGAAAACGACATCACATCGCAATAATTTCGAATGGTGTACGAAGCGAATGGATTGTAGATGTTCGTTTGCGAAAATGCTTTCCATGTTCGTGATCCCATGAGATGATGCAATGTAGTGTGTAGTGTATAGTGTGTCGTCTCTGTCGCCGCCGTAGCCATCGCTTCCAATAACAACAAGAACCAACGATAGTACGTTGTACGATGCATGTTTTGCCGGCTACAAAACCATCGAATCGCTACACGGTTTCTATGGTGTAGAACACTTGGATTGCATGTGATTTCTAATTTCTTATACGAACCGCTCTCGGATGCATGACTACCCCTACCCATGGCACTGGCACGTACCAAATGTTTTTGTTTTGTTTACATGAACGCATATGTCGGTGAGACACACGCGTGCGTTACCCTCTAGTCTATTCGCTCGTACATTTGCTGTTCGGTGTAAATTATGTGCATCCTTCGCATTCACTCTTGCATTCACAAAGGCAACGTATACGTTCGCTTTGCGGAAGAAACGGATAAAAACGTCGCGGTAAAACCGTAACCAAATTCAATGAGGGTAGTTTTTGAACGATTTCTATCAACCCTCACGATTCAGTCTCGTTCGTGCATCATTCAGTGATTGTTGCGTTTTGTATACTGGTGCGCGTTTCAGAAGTGCTGAATTTTCAGTGCATCGATCGTTCGAATCGATTCGCCACGATTTTGTTATCAACGAAATCGAAAAGAGCGAATCGAAATCGTTATTTTGTTAGCGTGCAAGTGAAATCAATTTGATGACTCATTTTTTTGTCGAATTTAGATTTTTTTTTTTAGAATTTTGAACATGTAGTGTTTTGTGTTTGTAACCGAATTATTTGATATTCATTGGATTTTGTGAAAAAAGATGAACCCTTAATTTGAAAATGGAAGAATAGTGGACGGTTGATTTCGACTATTCAGAAATGGTTTATTTGAATCGAAATTGAAGATTCGCGGGGATGAGTTATTTCCAGCGAAACCGACAGTTATTTCGTTGGGCTCGGAGTTCAATCACCGCAAATGCACTTAGTGCGACTTTTTAGACAGAAACATACGACGAACCAATGCCGGAAGAATGCTATCACACAGTGTATGTAAATTAAAGAATGGATTTTAACTGACGAGGGGGTGACGCTTCGCATATATATATATTTATGCATATAAATATGTATATCTATGTGCATAATGTTGATTACGTATTCAGTTTCTGAAATTTACTCTTTAAAATGCGATTCAATGTGATTACATTTGAAGCGTTTGATTGCAATCGCGTATTATTATTATTATCATCGAATTGCTGCTCCTGCTGCTAAGCATTGCTTTTATCGGAATGAAGACGGTTCAGTTATCATTTTCAATTGAATGAAGTGCAATTGGAGGGTTCTGCCACTTCCATTTTAAAACATACTCAAACTAATAATTCGTCGAATGGCCGTTGTTCAACGATTTGGAAAAGTGTGTGTACAAGCCAGCGAAAATCAATAGTCACATATAACTTTCATCGATTCAACATCAAAATTCTCTAATTTATAACATTTTTTTTTTTTCGGGTGTGAGAAAATCGATTTCCAGAATAATATTTTCAAGGTGTTCAATGCATGATAAGCGTAAGCGCAATTTGCAATTTACATTGAAGCGAAATCAACATAATAATATTTTTATTGGATTTTGTTGGTTGTATAGTACGTTGGATGATTATATGGTTTATACGAATGCGAGTTAAATGGAAAATTACCATGACTTTCATCAACGGTTTTTTGACGGTATGAATTTTGGGCTGTTCTTTTTGCATTATATTTTTGCTTAATTTCTTAGATTTTATTAAAAACTTTGTGCGAAAAGAAGAAATTAAGAAATGCTTGAGGTGAAATATAACGAAAAAGAAAATCTGTACCCAGATCGTTTGACGCATATTCAGTCGTACAGAGTCTACATTGAATTACGGCCAAGTGAAATTAGACGCAAACGAATGAAATCCCACAAAAGAAAGTTTTAATACAACAAATTAACGAAAAGTTAATTAATCAAATATAATAAAATTGAATGAACTAGGTCTGTTTGATTTGGTTACGGCACTTTTATTTGCAGACTTATTTACTCATTTTATTCTCTCTCTCTCTCTCTCTCTCGCTCTCTCAATCGAATCTCAACTGAAGTCATGTATGAAGTGATGTTCACCACATCATTCGTTTTATGTCTAATCGAATGATGATATTCCATTTTCATTCACTCAACCGAGTGCGTGCCATTTCAAAAGTTCTTTTTTTACTGTCTGTCATTTTTGCAACAAATTCGCCAACATTCGAAAAGTTTTTTTTAATCAAGAATGAAACGATGTGATTCCGAAATTAATTGGAACACCAAAAATGAAAGCGCAACCTCGTGAATGATGCGAACAAGTCCAATTAGCATATTCACATTTCCAGTTGAATGGAAATCCATTTAACTCTTTTTTTGCAACAAATTGTAATTTACTCTTAAAAATTGATGAAAAAATAAGCGATTGAACGATGATTAAAATTGTTACCACTTTTGATGTGAAAGCCATTGTAATTACATGTCGAACAGCGTTAAACTAAAGAGAAACTTCCACATACAACTCAATCACATTCATTATTCATGGCGTAATGAAAAATCGAAAAAAGTGATAAAAATATACACAGACATTGTTTCCTTTTCACCGAAAATAAAATCGATTTTCGTTTGTTGGCATGTCGAATCCTTGTTAAAACATTGCCTTTATCCATCTGCCTAACATTTAAAATGTAAAAGTCTTTATGCTAGGCACTAAATGGAGAGAGATTTAAAGTGACAAAGTTTTCAAGGTTAAAACACACTTGAGTCGCTGGAAATGATAATGGTTGTTTTTTTGTGTCTGGGCTCCTTCACGAAAACTTGTTTGATTATGGTTCTTTTCTATTCACATTAATAGCATTTCAGTCACGATTTACACGGACTTGTTTGACACCGCCGAAAGCTAAGTATCACGCCGATAATTTGAAATGAGGTGAAAATCTCATTTGTAACTCGCCTTAAATGCATAAAATACGTCACGATATTCATATGAAATTCGATATATAGAGTGTGAACTTCTGTTGCATAGCACAAAAACTTAATGAATACACAATGATGTTTTAATTGTATTCCACTGCGGTAATGGTTCATATGGGTTTTTTTTTTCTGGTTGCCATGTGCGCACATCGTGAAACTTAATGAAAATGAAATTTTTCAAGACCGCCATGTCACATTCCGTTGCGTAAATTGTTTTTTGTACACGATACTTTTGCCAGCCAGCGGTTTGTGCGTGTTGACATGGTTGTTCTATGCTTTACATAATGGCAATTTATTTATTTCGTTTTTAGTACACACAGAAAACTTTTGCCATTGCTGTTGATTTCTTGGCGATATTTCGTGGAAAACACCATGAAACCATGAATGCATAAATTGTCTTTCAAATGGATGTGTGTGTTTGTATCTCTGCATTTCGCGTTTTGGGTGCTTTCCATGAAATGACGACGAAAAAGCAGAGTACATCCGAGTGATAACTTTGCTTGTACTACATTGCTCACAATATTTATTGTTTTAAGTTTTCAACAAATTAATACTGGTTCATGTTCATTCTGCACATGGCAATATTTATGTGGTATTAATTTGACAATGGCAAATCCTGAAACACGATAGACTTGGGCAAATATAAAAAAAACACCAAATAAATGCGATAGAAGAGTTTTGATGAATCAAGTGAAATTTATCATGCAAAAGAAATCAAAAACACAATGTGACATAAATTGAAATTGAATTCATTGTAGTTTGTTGCGGAATTTGTGCAACATTTTAAAGTTGATGATAGTTTATCCGAATTTAAATAATGTTTTGATTGTTTCGTTCGCAAAAATGTGCAATAACTACGGTACACAATGGCGGAATTTCACAAAAATGTAAAATAATGTGAAATATTTCTGCGTCCCTTTATTTTAAAATTGGAAATTATTTTCCTCGGGCTCATTTTAACGACTCTTTGTAACATTTTTCATAATCAAAAATGAAATGAGCAGTTTTAATTATTCCTGTAATTTTTTTAAATTAAAAACAGCACACAATTACAATTTATATTTATTCAGTTTTTCAGCATTTTACTCCCACATACACACACAACACAAATCAACGTTAACGCTTTTCAATCAGATGCACCTTTTGAAGTGCTTCGCATTTAACAATCGCTCATAGACAATGACCATTGGACGATGCGCTCGAGTTTTTATTTAAAGAGAGAAACAAAAACATATTATATTGAATTGCATATTTTCACAATGGGCAGCCTTTTTGCCATTCCATTTTATATTTGGTCTTTGTTTTCTGTTCGAAGCGAATTTTAATCTTGCGCTACGGCAGTCTAGCGTAAATTGTATTAATTTACAATTTACACGCTTCATGATTTTCCCAGTAAGACTGAATGAATGACAAAGGTGAGCAGTTGGATGACAAACGACGATTTCATTTATTCAGTTTGTTGGCACATTGAATGCAGTGAAGATATATATATTCTATTTGGTTCCATTCAATGGCGACATTTTTCAAGCATCCAAATGGCGTTGAATTATGTGTTGTACAATACTTTGCGACAATACATTCGCTTTAAAATTGTGCTTTGAACAATTCAGCAATCAGTCTCATTACGAAGAACAATTGGTGAACATGGGTGATAAATGTTCTCGTGTTTAAATCCGATTGCAATCACATTCGGCGTTCAATGTTTTTTCGGGTATGAAAAGTTTGTTGAACTTTGTTCATAAACGACCGTTCGACTATTTTTTTTCTGTATAATAATGTGTATTTGATTTCTAATAAAAGTTTTTAGAGTTATACGCAAATTTACGATTTTTAACAATGAAAACGTTCATTCCGTTTTTTTTTTTAGTGAAAGTGAATCTGAACTTTTGCAGAAAAGGTTCAATCAAACTGTAAAAACATCAATTTTATAATAGTAAGCACTTGAAACTGTTTTTTATTCGACGGATTGTTATGTCTCGTCGGAATTCAATTAGATTTGAATAAATATTGTGCTAAAAGGTTGCCACAGACGATATTTTGTTCGGGCAAAAAATGGAAAAGTTTTTCGTCTGGATTCATCTTCTCAATAAAAGTAACCAATAAATATATGCCCTCGATGCGCCATGGATATCCGTTGGATTGTTGTATTTTCGCGCACTGCACTCATTCCATCGAAATAGAATATAAATTTTCATTTATAGAAAATGAATCAATTGTACGCTGTGTGTCGCATAATATATATATTCGGTCTTGGCATCCCTTTGGTAACGCGTTCCGCGCTACTGCAAAAGAGGGTAAGATCTGTTACAATTTTTTTTATTACGCTTCTTCAGCAAAGCGAAAACATGAATTATGAATATCACATGAGCAAATTGAATGGGATTCAGATGCAAAAAAAACCATCCCCAAAATATATACAATAGCAACGCATAATAGCCAAACATTTTCTTGCAAATTATCATCGTCGGGCTTCACGTTTTTCGCACATCATGCTCGTCTGCCGCATTTCATCGCATCAATTGAGTAAAAAAAATACATCTTGATTTACAGTTCATTCAAATTGGGTCTAAATTGGGCTTCACATTGCGTCTTCTATTTTTCGCATAGAATAGAGACAAAATAACTTTATTGAAAGAATTTTCAAATTGAAGGGATGGTTAATGTCATTGAAATAGACTGCATCTAAATAACACGAATTTTCTTGTATTCATTTGATTATGCATTCAAACACAAAGAAAGTTTTCTTTCTTCCTCAAATAAATGAGACTACTTTGGAAACCGTTTTATGTGTTAACAAACATTTTAATACATAAAAAAGATCGACCTGCTTTCAACAACAATGGAAACGCATCAAGTTACTTCGGTCGTTTGCGGTCCAGTTGAGGGCTTCGATATAATATGATAATTCGTCTATTTTGTTTGCCGTGGGATAATAGGCATCATTTTATTTCGGCAAGCATTGTTATTTTTCATATTAACACAAAATTGCTTGCAATTTTTTTAACTTATTGCTCAGCTACTTCAGTTCTAAACCTTAATCATATCAAATACACATTTTGACCGCATAAAACAATAGAACATTTTATAAACGGCTGTTCTACGGCCTATTGTTTCATCATCACTTCTATTCTGAATATTATACAATGGAGTTGAATTACAGTAAGAAATTTATTATTTCCTTTTCTTTTCACAAATTTGTTTTTTTCTATTTGGGATACTTTTCGCAATCTCGGTACATTTAACCAACACAAAAACACCATCTTTTCGCAAATCTCTGCTGAATAAGTGTGGCCCCGAAGCGAAATCAAGCCGAAAATGGAGTTCATAAAAATAATGAGCAAAAGAAAAACAATCTGCCAGCATCTGAAATAACCTTCTCACGATTATTGACGGAGCGTGCCACTTAATGCAGACGTTGGCTTAGTTTCAATGACAATAAAACATAGCAACTACAGATAGTTATGGCCCAGGACCAGCTAAAAGTTTTTCCGATAAAATCTATCAAAATTCTGCACAACGCTTCCATCTAATTCGATTGAGTTATGTTTGGCCATTTGATGAAATAGCGTGGCATCAAAATCCCTCGCCATTACACCTTGAATAAATGAATAATTGCTTTCGAATCAAATGCGGCTACGGTGCCTGATCGGTTACACAATTTATCATTTTCATTTGTCTAACAAGGACGAAAACAATGTCAAGCGAAACAAAAGAAAGTGATTTAAATGAGATGGAATTATTACGGATTTACTTGATGTATTCACATACAACCGACAATTTGCACATTCACATTTTTCTGGAAAAAGTGATGATACATTACGAAAAAAAACACCCTTGATAAGGAACAATGTACCAAACGATTCGCAAATGCAATTATCTGGGGAAATTTTATTTCTGCAAAATGGACATTTTTGGCTCCAAGAAAAGAATATGTCAAACAATATATGTGTGCATAATGCACATGGTATTCTTTCTCATATGCCTTTGAAGGGATAAATGGTATTGGATATCGTGGTAAATTCAAAGTAAACACAGAAAAAAAGGGACGCAAATATTCTGAAACTATAGCATTTGGTAAATGTTTATCGAACAGATATCGGCCTGCAAGCATCTCAAAGCAATAATAACGATGCACATGAAATTGGATGAGATTTTGGAAAAGTACACAGCCAATTAGAAACATAACGAAAAATAAGCAATAAATCCATTGCATTTATACCTTGAATAAGTCGATTTTTTTAATCGAACTCATTTCAGCTGTCGGACTGTCTATCATCAAATAACCATTAAATAGTCTGTATCAACCAGGGGTCAATTAGAAATAAAAAATCGTTATTTATTTTATGCTTTTTGATATATTAAATGATTTTTCGTGTAATTTGATATTTTGCGTATTAGTGATTTTTTGTCTATAACTTAAACTATCTATTTACAGTTTTTATCATTCCTAAAAGAAGAAATAAAATGCGTTAACAAGGTGAAATATAAAAAACTACGTTATTAAAAAAAATTTGATAATGAATAATGAAAAATAAAACTCAACATATGGAACAAAAATACCAGACATAAAAATGCAAAAAATGAAAAATAACAAAATTATGGTTCACGATAAGGTGTGGATCAAATTCGAAAGGAGAAGATCAAGAGATCCTCATCAAGATTATTGCTCTGGATCTTACGAAGTGACCAAATTTTCTAGTCCTGCCATCGAATTTTCAAAAGACGACCATCTTACATACAAAACGATATATCAGTGAGAAAGTGTTGTGAACAAACATTATTTAAACGTGAAATTTTCTATTGAATCAATGAAATTTCATTTTAAATGCAAAGAACTAGTCAAATAAAAAATAGTGAGAAGATAAACAAGATAAAGTGAACTATGAAGGAAATACATTCTGTGTAAAAAATGACAAAATATTAATAATCAAGTGAACAAAGTAAGATCAAACTATCAAAAAATTGAGTGAGAATGCAATTTCGATCGCAAAAGATGTCTGTGTGAAAGTTTAAAGTAAGTAAATAATAGTAACTACCAATATGTAAGCGAAAAAAGGATAAAAAAATGATAAACATTTTTGAAAATCCTCAATGTAAATCCGAACCAATTATTTTTGCAAAATGGACAGTTTTGATCCAGGAAAAACGTGTCATACAATGCATATATGCATGATACACATAGTTTTTTTTACACAAGTTCAAGAAAAAAAGTAATTGGTATGAAGGATCTGTAAGAATTCCTCGTAAAAGTATAGAGCAAAAGCAATAAACTCAAACTATAGAATTCCGTATGGGTCAATATTTATTGAGCAGATTTCGGAGATTTTTCTGCATTTACTTTAACACAGATTCAATTCAAAATGATGTGGATTCCTTCATGGGTCGTAAAAAACCTCCCTACGGAAAACAATTGAAGACGATAATAATGTTGAACATAAGATTGGATGATATTTTGAATGAAAAAATATGCAACCAATTACAAGTATAACGAAAAATAAACAATGATACCATTTGATGGATACGAAACTGGGGAGCCTTTGTAAATACGAGAAAAAAGTGTGAAAAATGCGTCTAATGTAGTTGAAAAAAAAATGTGTGGTAAAATTACCCGCAATCCTTAGGTCCGGTTGTAATCCCCATAGGCCATGGTTTTTTTATATTCAGCAAATTATTTAAGCTTAAAGGGATTTCCTGTCATTCTTTCTATATATGTGTGTATATATTTTCCTTTCAGATGGAAAGAGTTTATGAGCAACGCCTGAGCATTCATGAAATATAAAAATAATTCTGCGAAACAGTGGCTCGTAGTACATGGCAAAGATGGAGATGACAAAAAGCGAGCAAAATGAAGCCCAAAATGAGGTGAACATATAGACGTCTCTGATGAAAATAAATATGATAGCAAAAAGTGAAAAACCCATAGATAAAAGTGGCGCAAAATATTCAAAAAGTGTAGGTGACAGTGCAATAAAGACTTGAGCTACAATTAGGCAACGTGTACCGGGCGAAAAGAAAAAAATAACATACAAAGTCATTTGACTGGAACTTTAATGTATTTGGTGCAATATTACTTTTAGCGGTAGAATGATGAGAGTCAAATTTGAGGGACCGATTATGCAATATCAATTGAATCGACCGCATTGTTTATGGGATATTTCCTTCATTCATCTAGCTGTTTTTGTTTGTTCTCTGCTCACAAATGTTGGTAAGTAACTTTTTCCCCCTTTGGTATTTTCTGTATGTAAACATTTTTTGCTCCATCACGCAAAAATTCGTCCGTTTATCTCGGAAGCACTGTGCGCTATGCACACATACGACGAACACGTGTGATTGAAATCAATACAAAACATTGGAGTGGAAATTTGAGAATCGGCAGATATTGAGTTTTATGCCGAAATGTTGATAACACAACGACCAACTTTCATTTGCGGCAGTATTTATTGGGAAGCCATTCGTTAAATTGTAAACACAAACTTTTATCTAAAAAGATGTCAGCCACGTCGTTGATTTATAATTCAACACGTGAACTGTTGTCAACAAAGACTGTAAAATTATCTATAGCTATTTTTACTCATGTTTATTGATAACATCGGAAAGACCAAACTTGGAATTCTCACGTATTATATGTCGATCCCATCGCTGCCTTTCCCAATTTTGTTCACAACACTTTGACAACAAAAAACATTTCGATTGAAGAAAAAATGGCTGTTTACAATCTATATAAAGAAAATACTAAAGCAGAATGGTGAAAAACACTCTCTAGCAATTTGATATCGTTCGGTATCGAATTGGCCATGAAAATATGTACATATTGTTCATTGAATGTGCACTTTCAACAAAAACTATGGGATGCAATGACGATAAAAACTGGACATAGTCAATTAAGCACAGTGTTCTTCTCTCTAAAATAAACATTCTCCTCAATCTACCACACAATGTCCGTATATGATTTATAGTCGTGCTATTGTTGTTGATTTTTCTTAAACCAACAGTTCGGTTTTTATTCCATTGTATTGATTTTGCTTTTGATCTTTTATTCCGCTCAATCAGATTTGACCGAATCGTTTCGACGTGGAAACTTGTTAATACCACGAACATATTCGCCGATAAGCGGGGATTTAAATGTGCAGCTTCAATATTTTAGCCAAGAAAAGCAAAAAACCGTCAAATCAAATTTCAACCGTGACGATGACTCAGCGTCGTTAAGCTCCGAAGAGGATGATTTTGTAAAAACGACATCGGCGCCCAAACAAACGAAACCATTTGGTGATGATGATGTTCGCTTGCAAGTGAGCCGTTTCGTTGGCACAAATCGTACAACCGTTGCAATCCTAGATGTGTACCCAGACCAACGTTCGAATATAACTCAGATCACAATTTCGTGTATGAATTTTTTGTTTGGTGGCACGTACGAGCTTGAAATTGTCGGTGGCAATGATATTGATGAAGGTGCCAACACATTGGATAATCACGATGAACGCTTACGAAAACAGTTAGATGTGAGATGGCCTCAACCAAAGCTCAGCGTGACTCCAGAATCGATTGGAACATATCCGCAGCAGCCAGTTGATGTGATTTTGGAATTTCCTGGCATTGAATGCATTGTACCGCATACGCAACTCGACACTGTGCCAGAGTTTTGGCTTGAACTTTATTATTGCGGTCACGAGGTGTATTGCGACAGCGCCAATGTGAGCAGCTCACAGGTTTTATACGCTGAACAAATTCGCGGTTATCCAAAAGCGCGCCTGTTAAAACTCAGCTGCGAGCTATTTGGTTTAGCAGGACATTATGTTGTTAAATTACGACCAACAGCACCAGTGGCGGCTAGCGTTTCAGCAACGGCTTATATTCAGGTATAAAATCAAAAGCAACTCTACTATTTGTTTTGCAAAATCCCATATGCATTGCATATGAATTTTTTTTATTGTGTTCTTTCTATTTTGATTTGTTTCGTTTCGTTATTTTTTGTTCACGGTTTGTGTACGTAGCCGAATGCATGAATGAGTATATCCAAAGCAATTTAAATGCAAAATCGGTGAAATGAAAACCAACGTTTTAATTTGGCAGCTTTTATATTTGTTTGCATCGGTTTTTATCAATAATAATATACCGTGCATTTTCCGGATTGTTTTTCAGGCTGACTGGAGTGAACAATTTGTGTTCAATGTCCATGCACGTTCAATATCACCATGTGATCCACACAGCGGAATTGGTGTTCTGTTTGAGTATCCAGCTTGCATTTTGGACCGAGCGGATCGAATACGGTTATTTGGCAAATTGAGGGCTGACGTTGCATCACTCGCACCACCCACATCACTCCACTACATCACCGAGCAGGTACAATGATTTTTGATGTTTTCAATTCCATTTTCCTCTCGTCAATTTCATTTTAATTCTGCTTTATTCTCATTTAACTATCCGAATGCAGCGAGTCGTTCGAGGTCAACATGCATTGCACTTTGACTGTGATTTTTTCTCGGAAAAATATGTCGAATATTGCTTTGTGTACGTTAGTCAGGCTATTTCCGGTGCTGTTGCCGACGTTCGCATGGATTGTTTGCCAACATTACCTGTTCGCGGTAAGTTCATAACTACGAATTATGATAACTCAACACAAAATCATTTGATTGTTTTCTTTGTAAATAACTGCTCTCCAGCATATTTTCAAACACAAACACAAACTGAATTCAATATTGGAATATTCAGATGAAATTGGGAATTTTATAAATATTTTCGGTGAAAACCTAAAGTAATAACAAGAATATTCCATTAATTTAAATCCAAAATCCAGAACAAAAAAAACACACACACACAGAATTTGTTCGTTTGGTTTTTGGAGTAGTGCACAAAATATTTGATGTGATTTATGCCATATGATTGCGCTGATAAATCCACATATGAACAAGCGTGTAGTGATAAAATGGTAATGGTTTCGGTAAAATGACACAAACCTGTTTCATGCAAATATTTGATAAATTTATTTTCAAATGCGTGAAACTGAAAACACATAACAAGTGATTTGGTTTGAGGCCGGCAGCAACAGTAGTTAAACTTTTTCGAATATTATTCATTTTGACACAAGTATGAATTCCATTTAATGTGTGTTGTTCTTTTTTCGTGTTATAGAATCAGAACGTGGAGGCTGGGGTCCATGGAGTGAGTACACGCCGTGCTCAACAACGTGTGCTGGTGGTACACGGAGTCGATATCGCGTTTGTGATTCACCGCCGCCGAGATATGGAGCAATGTTTTGTGAGGTAAAATCAATATTCAAAATCCATATTTAATAATAAATTGAAAATGCGAAAAATTTAAATATTGTACATGGTTTTTTTGATGGATGTTTTTTGGTTTGTTGTTTGATGCGACATAACATACGTAACTGAACACCAATGCTATTTGCCAAACAGGGAAATGCTGTTGAAACTGAAGAGTGTGGCGGATCAATATCAGATAGTTGGGAAAATTGTATTTATGGTGCGCCGGGTGGTATCTTACCATCGGACTTTGCAGATAGACCAGGTATAAAAGCCGATCTCGGATCGGATTGTCGATGTGGTTGTATTGTTCATTTGACGGTGTCCAAGCCGCGGCGCATTATATCTGCATCGGCTCAAAGTTGTCCGGGTCGCACATTTTGGCTGTTACAAGCCGAACCGGGCTACAGGATTCGATTTCACTTTGACTTCTTTCGACTCATTTGTTCGGATCAATATGTTCGCGTACGCGATGGAGATTCATTATTGAGCGAGTTGGTGGGCGAGTTTTTTGGCGGCACTCAAAAGAATACCGACGTCATTTTATCAAGCGGTTCGAAACTTTTGCTGGAATTTTACTCCAACGAATTATCGACAATTGGCGAATCGTGCAAAGGAGGCTTTTTAACACATGCACAACAATTCCGTAAGTAATGACAATACTTGAGTTGTCTTATTTTTAAAATGTTGCTGGTGAATATTTTTATCAAATTTTAATTGCTTGATTTTCCATGCAGAGACATCACATTTAAATATCACAGAACCACGTACGAGCAAAGCCATTATGTCAAAAATTAACATACCGTCCACGTCTCGAATTACAATGGTGCACGTCATTGCCATCCTATTCAGCAGTATTATAATTGTGGTGAGCGCAATGCTTGGCGCACAGTACGTATGTCGTTATCGTAAATACCAATTAGCTGAAAGTGCTGGTGAACCAGATTCGCCTGTGCACACTCCCCGTACATCAATGGGCTCAATAGCGGCAGGTCAATTGCCATCAAGAGCAGTCTCAACTTCAACATTACTATCGGAAGTTGTGTCATTTGTTAAAATACGACCACGGGGCCGATGGATGAAGCATTCACGTTTACGCGAAAGTGTCGATGGTGAGGCTCTCGAAGTAGCTCTACAAAATGGAAAAGCCCACAGGTAAGATGAGAAATTAAAAATAAAAAAAAAACTCAAAACACAAGTGTCAAGTGCACCATTTTCAATCATTATTATCATTTTTAGAAACTTGTTCGCTCCTTCCATTCTTATTTCTCTTTCTGAACATAATTTTCAAGTGAAATTCATATTCTATAGAAAATGCCATATTTCTATGCTTGAGCGCATGCAAACCATTACACATTCACGTTTACAGTCACGAGATTTTACATTTTAATTAAATATATATTTTTTGTCTGTGTCGTTGAATGAAATTTGTTGTCCACGTAAAAATTGATGTGGCAAAGCGAACAAAGAAAGAGATATCAGGCGGTAGAATGTTTAATTTGGAAAAAGGAACCTTATATACCTTTTGAAATGTGAATATCTCTTAATGTGCAGATTTTTTCACCGTTTTTTTTTTGCTCATTAAGTGTAAAAACCTCAAAATGGCTGTGTGTTTTTTATTCTCTCACACAATCCCGTTTATGTATACAGGATTTGGCTTTGTGCTTTACTCGTCGTCTGTATTACATGTCGTATTTATGTTCACAACGAAAAATTCTTCCGGGAAAATGTAGATGTACAATTCAAAGACACATTTTTATGGTTCTGTCACATTTTTCTGTGTTTCATCCAAACCATAGCTGATATTTACTTTAGCAGAGGAAATAAAATGTGTTCACTTTACGTAGCGAAAAAAGCACTGACATGAAAGTGATGCATGAAAAAATCAAATAAAATAAAAAACTACAAAACGCTGGCAGAGTTTGATGCAAAGAAAAAAACGAAATGAACAACGTTGACATAACATGCTCACGCGAAATAACAATAAAATTTCACGAATGGGAGCGAGAAAAAAAACGGCTAAACAGCAAAGAAAAACCTAATTAAATATGGTATGTTCGTTTATTTACAGTGACGATGCAGCGAGTCTGGATGCTAGTACGCACACTTTAACAAACGAAACGTTTAATGGGAGCAACGATGCATGCGAAACGAGCGACGTGATAACGGCACCAAAACGAAAGAAAAACAATAAACAAGATAGCGGAATGAATGGAGAATGCTCTAATGAGGCTCTATCGCAACAGTTATCGACGTCTCCATCGAGCTTCGGTTGCAGCAGCCCCGGCAGTAATAACGGTGACATCGATAGCAAGGAAGACGATGATAAAAATGACAGAAAAAATTTAGCTCGTTATAAGCGACGCAATTCAAACAACATCAATTCAATTAGTTTACCGCGTACACCACTCGATACACCCATGCCACGACGACGGGATTTTGGAAAGAAACGGAACACGAACACTGCTACTCCCGCCGCCGCTGCTGCTGCTGCTGCTACAAGAAGAAGCACCATTGCAGAAAACAAAGACAGAAAAAATGAACAAAGCGATGCAAAAACTACCACCGACACTAATTGTAACGGCAATAGTCATAATAAGGACAGTGGCAGCGATGATGTACCGACTGAAACGAAAAGAGTTAACGGCGAAAAGGGCTCACGAAAAAAGCGAAACCATTTAAATATGGTGGGCAGCAGTAGCAGAAACAAAGTTTTCAGCGAAGACAGTGAACGCGATTCGGATTCTCGGGCATCCATAAATAAGCACCCTCTTTCAGCTTCGCGTAAAAAAAGCGACATGATGAGAAGACTCAGTGTCAGCAATGCCACTTTGCGAAATGTAAATATTGCTTTTTCTCTCGCTTTCCCATTCTTCTTCTTCTTCATCTTTTTTGGTTTTATTCCTTTCGATTTAATTTTTATGCAAATTTTTGATGATAAAAATCGCATTCATAACAAGAAAGTCTTTTTTTTGTTCAGTTTGAATTAAAGAGAAACTTAAATTTGTTTGGTTAAATTATTGTAGAGTTGCTACTCGCCAGCATCGAGTGTAATTAGTGTGTCAACAAATCGCAGCGTGAATATTAAAGAGAGCAAAGAAAAGAAGAATCGTGAGAAATTGTTAGCCGGACCGGGATCTGAATTTTCATTGGCACCCGAAGATATGGAAATGGACTATTACGATTATAATGTGATTAATGCTGGCGCAGCACCAGGTTACTATTTTTAGCACATGATTATTGATTTGATTTGATAACATTCACATTTCATCTCTTCTACTTCATACTAGGTTCATACTTGGGCATGGATCCAGCGTATTTAGTATGGATCCCACCAATAGACGATGGCACCGAACACACTGAGGATGATGACGACGACGACGATGACGAACATTCTGATACAAATGGTCACAGCAACGAAAGTGAAGATGCATCACCCAGTGAAGAGGAGCCACATTACGAGGAAATTTCACCAACATATGCAAATAGTGAAAATCGAAAAGAAGAAGCACCCGAATTACCGCCGCTCAATAAAAAGCCCATTTCGCCGAATACAAATAACGGCATTAATGAAATGCATCAAAATGCTGATTTAAATAAAGTTTTGCTAGCAAGTGCATTCAGTGCAATACGAGATGATGTTGACTCACCAAAAGGCATTCGCCGAAAAATCAGTGGAAATTTACTTGGAAGAAAAGTACCCGATGTTGATGCCATACCAATGACCGAATTTAGGTCGAAAAAATCAAATGGCAGCCTTCGAAATGCTGATTCACCAGCCAAAGTACATCGCCCATCATATCAAAATCAGGAGCAACGTTGCAGCTATGCCAGCGACGATAAAGACGCTGGCACGGAGAAAGAGACAGCTGTTGTTAAATCGCCAAGCGACAAATTTAAAGATTATTACGAATTGGATGACATTCAATTTGCCGATGATGACTCTGAAGACGACTGCGACGTACGGTTCAATCGCAACCAAACTGACTATGCGACGTCAAAGATGCACGAACCAAAGAACAGTCACACACTTTTCGAAATGCATTAGGGAAAATCTGTTAAAGAATTTGAATAATATTTTGCACATTAGGCATGTGACGCTATAGCTAAATTGAAATGGATTGTAACGAATGAACTGACATGGAAAATTTGTATAATTTAATTTATTATTGCATAAAATGTATGTAGAGCTTTTCAAATTACATTATTATTATTATTATTGTATTACTACTATATAGATGTATGTACTTATTGAACACAAAAAAACTGAAACTGAAACATCATGTACTTTCAATGTAAATAAATCCTTTCATTAAATGTGAGAATAATTTTTTTTCAATTCAATTTTACATTCTACAACTTAAATCAACATTCATGTGGATTAGTGTAACTAACGGTGAGTCATGTATACAGTGTGTTCTATACACACAATCCATGTCAATTTAAAATGCACAATTTACATTCGAAGAAATGCTAATGTACCAATTGCCAAATGCAGACTGTCTTCAGATGTTGCACATTTTTTTGTAGCAAGGCACTTGTCACATTCTATCACAACGAAAAAAAAGATTTGCAAGAGCATACAGGCAAGCATCGAATACAGTTTCATAGAAATGCCAAATTGCATTGAAATTCTATTTATTTTTGATCATATCAGTATGATACATTTCAGTTAAATATCGTGCTTCTTCCCAAAGCCCCGTTTAATGATGTCTACAAATATATATGTTTACGTAGGCATGTTTTATATTTATGGTTCATCGTTTTCATCTGATGCCAAAGTTGAGTTGAATCGAATTTGCTTTGCTCACACTTGAAACTTGTAAGCAAATTTACATGCAGAATTTGTAAAAAACATCATCATACGTTGCTTCATTTGGAGATCAGAAATTTCAGAAGCAATTTGGCTTCAATTGCATTTGGTAAGCCAATTCAAAAAAATAAAAATAATTAGAATTCTAAACAGAAAGATATTTTTTCTAAAGTACATTTGAAGTGAGTACAGTAAACTCAACATTATTGAGTTCAACATTTAAAAGATATATATACTACACAATAATCGAAATAGTTTAAAAAAATAAACGAGTTGGTGACTGCAATGACATCATTAAAACAATAAATCAGAGCATTAATTTTATTTATTATACATCTACTAAAAGGTTGGTATTAGCTATTTTCTCGCTTTAACTCCCCATTTCACACTTCAACCACTTGATTTTAGATTGCTCAAGAAAATCAGTTTAATTCAATTTGTGCTCTGAATCGAAATTATTTGGCACACAAAACTAGCCCAATGAATATGTGTCATGAATATTGTATTTTCAGTGTTTATTATGTTAAATTAAATTCTACATTTCTGCTCGAATATGAAAATGCTAGAGTCTCATGCGGTTTCAATTAATTTGTTCAAATCGTTAAGCAAATTCAAAAACCTTGTCTCAGAAATATATTCAATATTGAAAACTGACAGCATGTCAATATGTATTACTGCATTGCGACAAAATGAATTTAAGAAATAAAATGCCATTTTCATAGTTAAGGATGAGCAAATTTCTAATTTAAATCATTTTTCATGGTTGCAATTTTAAATCAAATAATTTTATTTTTAATCAATTCAATAATTATGTTTAAAATAAAATTGTTCAAATTAAGCGCAACGATATTTTGCACCAACAGGATCTCGATAGGGTTTCATCGAGAGAACCAACTTCAGGATGGTTGAGTTCGACGCAAATTATTGGAGTTTCAACACTAGCTGTCAAAGTGTACCGCGCAAAATTGATATTTTTTTACCTGCTGTGGCGTTGTATGAACAGAAAAAAGGGATCAAACCAGTTTTGTATTCAGTCTGTAAAAGTACTGTTTCACGCGTTGTCATTGTGATTCCGTTTAATTAGCTGCGAAATCATGTCAGCAAATAAAAGTAATTTGAATACAAGCGGTAATACGCTGTTCAATTATTTCTCACGAAGTCCATCGACACCGAAATCAAATAAACCAGCAGGCACGCCAGTTGCTAGCCCATTGACATCGAAACCGAACACACCGAAAACATCGAAAACACCCAAAACTGGTACAGTATATTCCAATTAGAACATAACATTTTGTCAGAGTTTGTCTATGTAATTTCATCACATTCTATTGTATTTCGACAGCAAAAAAGGCAAAAGAGACATTAAAAAGTCCCGCTAAGAAGTTGAAATTGCAACCGGAAACTAATTCGGATGATGACGACGAAGAGGAAACCATCAAATTCAAGAATAAACGGAAAATTTCACGCATAATCGATTCAGATTCGGACTACGAATGTGAAAACGATGAAAATGAATCGGACAACAGTCAATCGATGGATATTGACGATTCGAAACCAAAATCACGCAGAAACAAGAAGGAAACTAACGGAAGTGCGGTTCCAAAGAAAAAAATCAAATTGGATTCGAACAATGCAGCGGCTTCAATTAAAGATAAATTGAAGTCGAACATTGATAAATCGCAGTCTTTGTCTGACGTGAAGGAAAATGACGACACTGACGTTCTTGATGTGCCCGTCGTTTGGCGCCATAATACACTCGACTTTTTGAAACCGGAAATGATTCGTGATGCTGAGAAAAGACGACCAGATGATCCAAACTATGATCCCACGAAATTGTATGTGTCAAACAAATATTTGGACAGTGTGACTCCAGTATGTATTCAATTAAATAAACATTTTTTTGACATTGATACCTAATTTAAATTTAACAAATGATATTTATATAGGGAATGCGACAATGGTGGGTTCTGAAGTCACAAAACTTTGACACGATTTTATTCTTTAAAGTTGGGAAATTCTATGAATTATACCACATGGACGCCGATATTGGTGTGAAAGAATTAGGCTTTACGTACATGAAAGGTGACTTCGCACATTCGGGCTTCCCAGAACAAGCATTCTATCGTATGTCAACGACTTTGGTGGAACGAGGCTACAAAATCGCTCGCGTTGAACAGACAGAAACTCCAGACGTAATGAATGAACGTGTCAAGACAATGAAGAAGGCAACTAAATTCGACAAAATTGTTAACCGTGAAATTTGTCAGGTAAAGAAAGAATGCATTCGCACAAATTGCAAACGTTTTTATGAACATTCGTTAATTTAATAGGTCGTCACCAAAGGTACTCAAGTTTTTGGACAACAAGTCGAGATTTCGAACGAACATCAGCCAAATTATATGCTGGCAATTGTGGAAAAGGTATTGATATTCAAACAAAAACCATCTCGTTTGAAGCCATTAAGGTTTCAGTAACTCGTATTAGAACAATTCACGCTGCTTCGCTGCTTAGGCGAATATCATCAGTATAATTCACTGCGAAATGGTCAAAAATATCAAGTAGCCATTTGTACATTTTTTCATTCTCTTTTATGCGAACTTTCTTTGACTGTGTATCGCTGTGAGCAAACACATGCATTAGATGCACGACATTTCGCAGTGAACCCAACGGCTGATATTCGGTAAAGCAGCGATGATGTGCCGAGTGTACACGAACCGTGAATTGTTCTAATATGGGTTACTGAAACCGTATAGGCTTCAAACGAGGTGGATCTTTTTATGAACAAAATTAAATGAGAATATTTTATTTTTGTGTAGACTTCATCGAATGGCCATCGGTTCGGCGTTGCTTTCATTGATACGTCAATCGGTGAATTCAATATTGGCAAGTGTTTTATTTACATATGATAAAATCGATTGGCTTATTTAAAAAAATGATTTTCATTATGACTGTATAGGTGAATTTGATGATGACAAACAATGTTCCCGTTTGCTTACATTGATCTCGCACAATTCGCCCGTTTTGGTTCTCCATGAACGTGGTCGTACATCATTGGAATTGCAACAAATTTTCAAGTCGATGTTGTCCAATTCAATGCGTGAAGCACTGTTGTCAGGCTCACAAGTTTGGGAAGCCGATAAAACATTGAAAGTACTCAATGAAAAGTACTATGGCCCCAACAATGACAAAGAATGGCCAGACGTGATTAAAATGACACAAGACCCAGATGATCATTTGGGCATTACACCAAATGCAAACTTTAAACTTGCTTTGAAAGCACTGGGCACCTGTTTGTGGTACCTCACAAAATGTGTAATAGACCAGCAAATCATGGCGATGTGTCACTTCAATTATTACATTCCGCCAGACATTAAAATCGATGATTTGGATCAATTGGCCGCTGACATTGCAAAGAAGAATTTCAACAAGCACATGGTTTTGGACTCAATCACTCTTTCCAACTTGAAAATCATCGGAGACGATAGATCGTTGTACAACACATTGGATAATTGTTGTACAAAATTCGGCAAGCGCCTATTAAACTATTGGATCTGTTCGCCAAGTTGCGAAAAATCAGTCATTCGTATGTACAGTTATTTATTTATTTTTTTGGACAAATATTAAGAGAAAATGCTAAATGTACCGCAAAATTTTGATATATTTGCAGGTGAACGTCAAGAGGCCATTAAAGAGATGATGGAGAATCGAGATCAACTAAGCAATGCTCGCACCATTCTTGGTACATTACCGGATTTGGAACGTCAACTAGCTCAAATACACACATTTGGTAACAAGAATCGCGCTGTCAACCATCCAGACTCCAGAGCCAGTATGTATGAACAGACAAAGTACAACAAGAAAAAGATTCAGGTTTTTATTGATTTTTTTTTTATTTTCATTGTCCAAATACCTTGAATATGTTTAATTGATTCTTAATATTGATTCTTTTATAGGATTTGACATCAACAATCCAAGGATTTGAGGCATTGGTGAAAATTCCGAAAATTTTCTCTGGCTTTTCATCGAAACTTATCAAACGATTGACACAAATCGAACCGATTGGTGAAATTCCCTCCGATTATAATGCGAAAGTTCAGTTCTTCAAAGTAAATATATATTTGGACTAAGTGAATCTGGCTTGTATATCTCACCATTATTCTTATTTTTTTTCAACAGAACAGCTTTGATTTTGATGCAGCAAAGGCCACTGGCGTCATTGCACCAGGGCCAGGTATTGACAGCGAATACGATTCGATTGGCGTAAAGATTAAAGAAATTGAACAAGATTTGGCCAATTATTTGAAGCAACAAGAAAAGTTTTTCGGTTGCCGTTTGCAGTATTATGGCAAGGACAAGAATCGATTTGAAATTGAAGTGCCGGAAAAAGAGGCTAAAAAAGCCGATTCAAGATACAAATTGGAAAGTCAGCGGGGAAAAGGAAATAAAGCTGTACGTTGCTTCAGCACAGACGAAACACGTCACATGCTGAAAGAAATGGTGCAAGCCGAAGAACAAAGAAACAATGTGCTAAAAGATTTGATGCGTCGAATGTTTGAAAAATTCTCAGACGAATATAATGTGTGGAAGAAAATCATCGACTGTGTTGCCATTTTGGATTTAATAATGTCATTCACGGTATATGCACAAAATCAAGCACAAATCTGCTTCCCTGAAATCATCGACAACAGTGCAGATGGGCCGGTTATTGAAATTGAAGAAGGCGTACATCCATGCATCTCACTCAAACTCAACGACGATTTCATTCCGAACGGAATTACTTTGGGCGGTAAAACTACACCACCGTTGGCCATTTTAACTGGTCCGAATATGGTAAATATTTCACTAAACGTGGATTTTGATTTAATCTGACCATTTTATTAATTCTTCTCAGGGTGGTAAAAGTACTTTGATGCGACAAGTTGGTCTGTTGGTCATAATGACACAAATTGGATGCGCAATACCAGCTGAATCGGCAAAAATTTCGTTGATCGATCGCATTTTTACGCGACTGGGAGCGCAAGATGATATTTTGGCTGGACAAAGTACATTTTTGGTGGAACTAAGCGAAACATCGGCTATTCTGAAACATGCAACAGTGAATAGTTTGGTTTTGCTCGATGAACTCGGTCGTGGTAAGATTAGATTGATTTAAGTTGTTTCCAGTGGAAAATTTTATTTAAGAAACATGATAACTAATGATGTCTCCTTCATTTTGATAGGTACTGCGACATATGATGGAACAGCAATTGCAGCTGCCGTCGTTGATTTCCTTGCGAATTTGAAATGTCGCACACTCTTTTCCACTCATTACCATAATCTGGTGGACAATTTCCATAATGATCAACGCATCACACTGGGTCACATGGCATGTATGGTGGAATCAGAAGGAAACGACGATCCAACCAAAGAGACGGTCACATTTTTATACAAGTACACAGACGGAGCGTGTCCAAAATCTTACGGTTTCAATGCTGCAAAATTGGCTGGAATGCCATTAAGCATCATCAAACGAGCATACGAAGTAAATAACTCTCATTTTGGTTTTATATAAGTCGTTTTGAATTGCATGACTAACCGATGTTTCTCTTGTCCATTGCAGTACTCGAAAAAGGTCGAATTGATCGCTTTGAAGCGGAAGCTTTTCTCAAAAGTTCTAAGCAGCGGTGGCGTACATGACATCAAGGAACTGCTCCAGAAAATCAAAAAATGTACAATTTAAACGATGTTTGTTTTTTTTACTCCAGCAGCAAGAGAATAACGCTGTTCATTCCAGTTACATTTTTCTCATATTTTCATAATAGAGATATTGATTGAACATAAACCACAAATATCAAAGATTTTAAAATAAAATACAATTTGTTAACCACAAAACTTGTTAATCAACATTCAACTCGAGCTCTTTTATCATTTATTTAAAATAAAGTTCTCTCGGAACTACTTCACTTTATTTTTATTACATTTTTAAGACACAAAACAGCTATACAGATTAATCTGTCACACACACACACACACACATTTTAATTAAACGTCATATTTTTGAAAGGTGGATAGTATTGAGGTATTTGGTAAATCTTTGGTAATATTGAGCGTCAAAAGTTTCCATAAAAATAAATTATTATTCATTTGATGAAGTCCTTATTTATCGTCGAAATATAGCTCTTCATCTTCAAGTCTTTCGTGTGGTCCCTTTTCAAGCCAGTGGGTTTGCATTTCACCCTTTCCCTATTCGAAAAGAAAAAAAAAATCGTAAAAAATAAGATTTCTTTTTTTTATTTCTTTTGTACTCACTTTAACTGTCACAAAGCCGCGTTGAACAACTTCATAGCCCTTGTTGTGAAGTTTGGACGCAGTTTCGTTGCTGATTTGAATTTTATTTGGTAGTCCACTACTCTCCTGTACAGATAAAGAAATCGAGTTACAATTCATGGATAATAATAATTATTGAGGTAGTGAAAAAACAGAAAATAATTCAGGTGTTTTACCATTCGTGAGGCAGTATTTACGGTGTCGCCAAAAAGACAGTAACGCGGTACTTTGAGACCGACAACACCAGCCACAACTGATCCAGAATGAATTCCAACTTTGACAGTGACGCCTGGAAGTTTTAGTAACTTTATACGGCGAATCATATTCAGAGCCAAGTCAGCGGCACATTCTGCATGAAGCGGATTTACATCTGGAGCGCCACTCACAGCCATATATACAGAGCCGACTGTTTCGACTTTATAAACCATGGGCGAGTTGACCTCTTCGTCAAAAGCAGAAAAGGCCGCATTTAAAATGGATACTCGACTCATAGCATCCTGAACCGAATTGCCACCGTCGAAAGTGCTATCCTACACATTAGTAATTTCATAAAATGATTAAAACATTCGAAGAAAAAAGAAAAACCGACGGACAACTCACTTCAACCTCAGCAAATAGAACAGACACCACTTCAAAACTTTGACACGTCGATAGTGTATTCTGTCCTGAACGTAATCGTTCTGCAACTGGTCTCGGTATCATCGAATACAGTAATTCATCACCTTGACGTTTCCATGAGTCTGCCAATTTAAGAGAGGTCTCAAGTTCATCCGATCGCTGTTCCTCTTTCTCGAACATCAATTCAATTCTGAAAGCAAAACAGAAAATTTTCTATCATTTGCAATATTTCATTCAATTGAATAGAAGATAAACAAACGTCACTTTACCTTGAACAATGTTGCCAACCGGCTAAGACCATCTCTCGACTCAAACCATGTGGATTCAAATCATTCAAATACAATCCCATACCGTGCAATTCATCCAAATTATTTATGCTGCAATTGAAATGATTGGTGTTTTATTTTGAAAAATGAGCTTGGCAATACCAATTATTTTGTTACACTCACAGTGGGCTGCATAGAAATATAATCGAATCAATGTCTTGAATGTATCGCATTTGACCTTTCAGTAGAACTCGGGTCCAACCTTGCGAACCCCGTCGATCCATTGCTTAAAATAAATTATCATTATTTATAACTTCAGAATACAATCACGACAGACTCGATATTGGTGCAATCGAATCTTGCGTTAAATTTCAATAAATAAATCGTGAGTATATATCGATTTAAAATACAATGTTTACTTAATTGCGTGTAAATTGATTAAAATTCTTCGTTATACCTGTTTGTGCTGCTTCAAATGCACAGCTATTGACATCATACAAATTCGTGCTGCTGCCGCATGGTACGTCAAGACCATTGTCGGTTACTGATTTCACAATGTGTTGTTCAGCTTTGTCTGAATCGTGTTCGCTGCGAATTAATTCCAATTCAAAAATAACCAAATTCATTTGCAACACTATATCCCAATCGACACGAATACCCTTCGGGCGACGCAGTTTAAAAATATCAACCAGTTTTGAGCCCCAAAATGCTAAAAATAGAGATGTCAAGAAATCAAAATGAGTTTTCTAGGAAAAATAAAATCGAGTTGTAAATATTAAGCGCACATTGTGGTGGTCTTGAAGGATTTTGAAGGATCCATGTTTCGAGAATTTTTTCACCAGCCCGTGAAATGCGCATATCATGATCCAAAATTACAGCAAATGGAAACAATTCAAGCAGAATACTGCTGTCGACATGTCCAAGCTCCAATTGGGATGGATGTGCCAAAACATTCACCCGCTTCGACATCTGAAAGGGAATATGCAATTGCATTTATACAAAACATTTCAAAATGATGCAAAAATGAAACTTTATTGCAAAAAGTCCTTCATTTAACATCACGCTGACTTTGAATGAGTATTATGCAATACTGCACTTGTTTAGTCAGCCTTAATAAAAAAAAAAACAAATTCTGATTTCGAAAAAGTTTGGAAAATGTCGTTAACCATTATTTACAAGATATCTCGTTGTCAACGTCCATTTCAAAATACAAAAACGATTTCATTTCACTGAGTGGGGGTGAATACCATGGCAACAATCGTCACCCGTACACTGAATTTCTGTGATTGCAGTGCATATTTTTTTCGAAATCAATGCAGATGTTCCATTGTTTATTTTTATTCGTTTTGCACTTTGGCAATCACTCACAATACATTGCGTGTTGGCAAGTTTTCGCAATGAAATCCAATACACTTCAATCTATAAAATGGTTCGGTTGAATGAAAAGTATATATATATGACGGTTGTTCACTGACGATATTACATTAATTCAAAATGAAGATTACCTTTGCATTCGTCATTTTGATTGTATTCATGTTGGTGAGTAGAGTTTATTAATTTCATTTAAAAGATTTCTATATTTTTGATATTTTATGGTTTTTTTTAATAGGCTGTTGGAATCGAGTGCAGCAACCCGCATTTTAAAGCATGTCAAAGACTTGACGCGCAAAAATGCAATTGTAATTGCGTTTGCAGAGCGAAAAAACGAAAGCATTCACCAAAGGGGCCCCAACATTTGGAAAATACTGGCCCAACAGCTAAAACGATTACAGACACTTACTGGGGTAAATAAGTGTCAACAAAACCAAAAGAAAAAAAAAACAAAAAAACAAATAAGTCAACTGGAAACTGAATTACTAAACCGAAGAAGAATCAAGAATATGCGACATTTACTTTAATTATTAACCAATTCATTATGTATGCTTTTAAAATGTGCTCTTTTATCAACCAGCCATTTCCAGGGAACTCAATTCATTTCTGAATAAAAACACACTATTGAGCGCAAACATATTGTTGTTTTACAATTTTAGATTTAGCTACAAAACTCATATCAATTCAATACTCACATAATCTCTATTATCAAAATCCAGACGATATTTTACAAAAACCGTTTTTGCATCCAACGACAATGGGCTTGTAGTGCTGCCCGGATCGTCATTCTTACTCTCCAATATTCGGACGGTCATATCGTTTAGTTTGTAAAAAACTTCGGCTATTTCACATAGTTGTCCCATGAAATATCTGTATATGAAAAAAAATGTACATATTACAAAGCTTTATCTATTCACATGGTGATAAAATTACACACAAACACCAAAATGATACCGAAAAAATTACCATCAGCAAATTCATGAATAACAAAATAAATGACATCACTTTACCTAGAAAACCCTGAACGACCGCTACGGTATACTAAAACCGCACCATTCTCGTCAGTTTCGGTGAGCTGCATGGAGGGACTCTTCATTTTTGGGTAAGTGAAGCGCATTTGGAGGTGAATGTTGTCAACCGATTGCAAAAAGTCACAAAAATAACGCCCAGTTGCTTTCAGCATTTTGTCGTAACCGAAATTGGTGAAAAAGCGCACGAAACACTTGCCGAAGAAATTCATAAAATAATCAAACGATTCGCCTCTGTATTTAAATGAAACAACCGACAAACAGAAATAAATCGAGGAGAAAGGTAAATTGGCATTCTATGCTAAGATCTTTTATTTTATTGTTACTGATGAAGTGTTAAAGCAATTCTATTGTTTATTTACGTTATTGCTGACAGCGCCTCCGCTAAATCAGGCATGAGCGAATCCGGGTAAATTTGATGTGTATTGAAAACAGTATGTTTGCATCCTGTCGCTCGTAGCGCCTGTTTCCACACCAGATCGCCGAATTGTTCCTTCGGAAGAAACAAGCAAGATTAGTAGATCATATTTTTCATTTTTACTACTTGAAACGAGTGCGTCGAGTGTCATCTCGTTTTTATTATTAAACATAACTTTTCATCGCATCACATAAATAAAATACTTCTTAATTGATGTAATGCTTTATTAATTTAATGTGAGTGAGAGTGAAGATGCGTTTTATTGTAATAAAATTTAATATCGGAGAACAGCACATTGTGGGTAGTAGATAATGCAAATACGTGATGTTATACCAATCAAGGACAAAGTGGACATTAAACCATTTGAACAGATGGTCATACTCTATTGGAAATTTTATATTATGCTCACAAAATACGATAATAAAATAAAAATTTAAAGTTTATTCGAATTTCATTTCGAGTGGAGTGTGTAAACAAGAACAAAGTTTCAAACAATGTCGAATGTTAATACACTATTCTTCAGGTAGTCGATACTAATTGTATCACGGAATTTGTTGTTGATGAGAAGAAAATTCTTGGAAAAATCCGAATGCTTCAGGGCAAATAGAAGTCACGCACGAAGTTTAATTAAATTTATGTGGATAAAACGAAAATCATTTGGATTCAGAGATTGATACAGGTGAACGTGTTCGATGTGTTTGTGCTGATGATGTGTTGGATGAAAACCATTGATTCACTTAAATTTGCCTGTAGCATAAAGCACCACGAAGTAGCTATCTATTAGTTAAGAAGCTATTTATTTGGTTTGATTTGATATAAGATTTAATCCAGCACGTATAATCAAATACATGTCTAGCACAAATGAGTCATTTTATAACAACGGAGGTTGAAACGTGTACACGATTCCGTATTAACATTTGTAGTTTCACAAAAATTCCCTGCCCACGCCTCATCTATCAGAGAGCAAAGCATTCCAAAAATTCCAAAGCGTACATTCGATTAAATTTTCAACTCGTGACCGTATAAAATGTTACGAAATCCGATCAGCTGAAAAATCTGTTATTATTCGACTGCTTCGCTGTATATTTCGAGATTTATTTGACTGCGGAAATCCAAGAGATTCGCTTAACGGTTCAACAAAGCGGCCAAATCATGTGAGCTTAATACAGAAAAAATGCTCTGAATGCAAACAAATCGCTTTTGGTTGGAATTCAAGCAATTTTCAAATCTATTTGTGCATTTATTTCGATACATTTCAAATGTCTAGTTTATTTTCGTTGGTTATTTTGTTTTCATTCATTTTATCTTCGTAAATTGGCTGGAATGACAATAAGATTGGTCAATTGTTTTCAACTAAATCGAAGATTATCGAATTTCAAAATAGAAAGTTTTCTGTTTAATTCCATTGCATGTACGTAAAACAAATAAAATCCACAGCGAAAGCGAAATCGAAATGTCTGTTTTCTTTTACATTTCACATCGATTGTGATATTCTTATCAAAATACGCGCAGATATATTGTTCGATTGATTTAATACTCTGTTTACACAGACGTTCATGACATGGTGTAACACAAAAAACTCGCTTTTAGCTACAACAACATCAATTTTCCGTTTTAAATATATACGAAGAGAGAGATATGCCACTTCTTCTGCAGTAACTTGTATTTATTATTTTAAATATGTGGGGTCAGACCTCAGCCATTGTCACTAGTTCATGTTGTCAAAATACACAAAGCATGAATTAGCACTCAATAGCTAAACCTCAAATGGCAACTCGACTACAAGTTATAACTTTCGTTGTGTGGTCACAATCATTTTTTTATTCCATAAAAAGATAATATTAAATCCATCCATGTTGTTTTGTTATCTCCCTTACCCTTGAAAGTTGAACAGCGAAAATGTTGCGAGACTTGAGAGTTGCTTGAGAAAAATACCAATTGTAACAGTGTTCTCATTTTTATTTAAAGAGGATTTTTCAAGCTTCAAAATAGCAGCTTTTGACGGTTTTTTCCAATCAGCGATAGTATCGCGCAAACAGACATTTACCCTTCATTGTTGTTATAGTAAGCGCTCTTAACTTCTACAGCTATCATCTAGCGAATATTCCGAATGGGATTTGATACGAAATGCCGTACAGTTGAAACTGTATGCGAAGAATAAAAACTTTCTATCATATAGCTTACCTGCACGAAGTGCTGGACGCTCTCCAATAACATACCATACATTGGTGCCGCGTGTGTGTGTCCTGCTCTGAAAATAAACGACCGAAACATTTTTTTTGACAAAATTACTTTTGTGACTTTTCAAATGCTTTTATGATGCTCATCAAAAAACCAATCACATTGTGATGGAAATGGAATAACATAAAAGAAAACAAAACAAAAAGAGAGAGCAAACGTGAAGAGGCGGATATTGCTTATGCATGAAATGACTTTGAAAAATGTGTAAATTACACAGAAGATTCCACAAATAGAACGATAAAGATCTATCGAAAATTCAACAAACCATAAAATTGCAAATGATTTAGTAGCCGAAATGTGCAAGCAAAGACGATCCAAATTGGATTTTAAATGAATGCGGATATTTGAATGGCAAGGAAATTACATTTCAGACAGCTGGAATTAAAATTGGAAATTCATTCAATTGTGCACATGCACATATTTGACGCACACAGTGAATGTCACATTCTTCGTTTTATTGACATTATCTCCATTCGCCCCGTGACAGTTTTATTTTGGCAAATAAAATGTGACACAAATATGTAAATTAAAAGTGATTGAATAGAAAAAGAAATTGAATTACACAAATCATTATTACTCAGTTTGCGCAGAATATCTTATCTCACAATAAAATGGAGCACAGTCACAGATTTCTCTCATCTTATTCGAAAGATGAATCTCAAGCAAGAAGGAAAGTTGACATTTTTTTCAAGAGATTATTTTTCATGTTGTCAGGATGATAATAATATACACATTGTCACATCTCTTGGACACAAACCCGAATTCTATTTATTATGGTCTACACTTGTGCTACTTATAAAGACGTCTGAGATTCTAGTCACATTAATGCAACTGAAACTTTGCTTTGAATGAAACAGCTTCATACAGTCATTAGTTTCGCATTTATGCCCATATTGCGCTAATCATACAAAAGAATAACGCAAAATATCATCACATTACACCATTAGCGCATATAAAAACTTATGCTGTACCCGAATTTCTTATTAGTATATTTATTAACGATACAGCGTTAATTTATCATAACATAAAAACAAAACGTCAGCAAAATTGCCTAGTCCAACGATATGAGCCTTAGCTAAAACAGCTACTAGTAGCGACATAACTGTGTGTCAAGATATAAAAAGAATCACGTCAAAAAAATCCCAAAGCACTCATTTGTCGCGGACATTGATGTGTATAACGACACATTGCGTACGTGCTACTTTATGTGAACTGATGTTGATAATGAACAAACACAAATATTGCTAAGATTGAATGTAGTCTCATGCTGGTGGCAATGAAATTTAAGAAATAGCAAATCAACGTTCCCATGTTTTGTGGTGCTAAATTTGGAGTACTCTGCTAGGCAGAAGAAGCCATTGAACCGATTCAGTAAACATATACATTTTTGCGGTCTCATCGGTGGAAATATGACGATAATTTGTGATGAGCATAAAAAGAATCTTTCCGGCAAGAATTGCCATTTGAAGTGATTCCATTGCCACACATGTACGCTGCGTGTAATTGTAAAGGATAATCGGATATATATTGTTGCCGATGGATGAAATAGAACTTTCAAAGGCTTAATTGGCTTCACCCGATGTCAAGCAGACGATGGATAGGAATGAATTAATTATACGCTTGTTGAAGTCAATGGATGTGAAATGAAATACGGAAATCTATAACTTTGAGCACAACATTCAGCTCGAATATATTCATCCGTATAATATGTGTCACGATTTATCTGATATCCGTTGTAAATTGAAGAATTTACTACCGCAGTTTACGATGCCTTTTGGGATCACGAGAAGCTCTCATAATATGTTTTGAACTGTCATAGAAATCGTTTGGAAAAAACAACAAAACAAAGTCATCGCAATACGACGAACCAAGCAACAGCAGTTTTTTTTTTTTCAAGCATCCATTGCAATGTATCAGTAATCACATCGAATTTGAGTCGAGTTTGGGACAAGCATACATTTATAAGAGATCATTCCATGTATCTCAATTTTTATGAAGACTTAAAATACGTTTCTCATTCAAAGCAGAGTGGATTCGGTTTTAAATTTATTTTGTTGTCATGCAATCAGCTTATTGTCACAAGAAAAATAAATTGAACAGAAGAAAAAATGTGCATTTATTTAGCCACTTCTCATAAGAAAGCTTAAGAGCTTGTCACAACAAGAAGAATACGATTATGTTTTGGCCTGAAGATAAATTTACAGTTATGTACACGAACATGCGAGAATGCCAACAACAAATGAAATCGTTGGGCAGTAGATTTTTTCATTTCAAATACTTCAAGACAGAATATTTACTATTCAACAATGGTAACGAACAAGACATAAAATGGAACATTAAAATGCGTCCGATGTAACAGATGACATCAAATACGAGTGAGTAGTTGCGGAGTATTGCTCAGCGCTGCTGCCATCCACAGCATATTAAAATATCTTGCTGAGAATGCATCGTCCGTCGTATGCGAAGGTACGTAGCAGTTTTTACATCACCGCGAACAACAATACATGCATTGTTCTCTATACAATCGTTTGAATGTTTTGAGTCACATAATCGTGAAGAGAACAATGCATTCATTCCAGTGATTCGCTAATTGCTATTGCCACTAAGACTTACTTAGAGTAATGTGCTAGCCAGCATTTGCTGTCTAGCAGTGCTAGTGCGATACGCTCGACGCATGAAAGACACGTGTCTATGTGAAAGAAGCATTCTATATGAAGCACTATGTACGCTCGTATTTCGATTTATTTTATCCGCTGTACTTCTGTTATGTTCATGATTTTTTTCAAATGATTTTACTTTCAATTCCAAGATTTATTTTTATTGCTGTTTTCATTTAAAAAAAAATCATGAACATAACAGAAGTACAGCGGATAAAATAAATCGAAATACGAGCGTACATAGCGCTTCATATAGAATGCTTCTTTCACATAGACACGCGTCTTCCATGCGTCGAGCGTATCGCACTAGCACTGTTAGCCAGCAAATGCTGGCTAGCACATTACTCTAAGTAAGTCTTAGCATTCGCATGCGACGGACGACGCATTCTCAGCAAGATATTTTAATATGCTGTGGATGGCAGCATCGCTGAGCAATACTCTGAGTAATTGTGTCTAAACATTCACATACACATGACTGCGATATCAATCAGAATCTGATGACACATTTAAAGTCAATATCAATGTATGAAAAAGAGTTTTCTCGCTTGAATTTTAGTTTTTTCGCATGAAACGATTGATCTTTTATCGTTTAGTTTTTTTTGGTTGTAACGTATAAATGACATAAAATCCAACATACTTTTCATTTCCCATATGAAAATATTTTGATTTTTTTTTATTTCAAGCTTTTACAATGCATAAAGGAACACCAAAATATGCATTTAATTTAGCAGGACCTAAAATTTATCTACATATAATCAAATGGTTTTACATCCAATTCAAGTTATAGTGTGTTTTCTTCGTTCAATTCTGTTGAAAAGGCCCGCTTTAAAAAGTATAATCCCAAGTGGTCGGAATTTATTAAAATATTTTCAACAAACACGCAAAAATGACTTTTAATCACAAAAAAAACATAACATTTTAAAGAGATAAAATTAAGGAAATCTTCCATAGAAATTGAAAAAATTTAAAAAAAAATCCAGTTCAAGTGACTCGTTTGAGATTCATATTATAACTAACTCAGTCGACGTTTAAAGGCTAGTTTTCGAAAACTAAGTTAATAGAGGGGATGAATCCATTAGATCCGTTGAAAAGAAGAGCGTGCAACGAATGTTAAGTCATCACATAATACAAATTATTTAAAAAACAAATACAAGTCTACAAAGAAACCTTATTCACGTAAACAAACTAAAGTCATCTCATTAGTCATCTCATGAATTGGTATTTTTAGTTTGACTCATGGAAAAATTCATCAACTATTCTGATTTTAGCTCTCATTTATATTCATTTTTTTTCAGGTATGATTTAAAAAAATGCGAAATGTCGATTATGGAAGAATCAGAATCTACGAGAATATCGGCCGTTATGAAAATTAATTCCAAAAATATCTGTATTCTGAAAGGCGACGATCAACAAGTATACATCATTTTGTTATTGTTATTAAAGGTCAAATTTGATAAAGAACCTTTTATGATATAAATATGTGTGCATCTTTATTTAGAAAACCATCTGTACCAAATTCGAGTGGGATACATTTCAAAATATAAAAGAGAAATAAACACAACCCTCCATTAAACTTCTTCCGCTCCGATCACTTCTGATATGTCCTCAATCAATAAAAATCCAATTGAAAGAAATACGCTTAGTAGTACTACCAAAACGTTTGTTTACGTTTGACTTTAAAAGCACATCAAATGAATATGTTATCAGATTGATTCGAATAAAATATGAATTAATGTATATGCCCAATAAATGTTGGTATATACAAAAAAAATCGTATTTCGTTCCACGATTGTTACCATTTTGCGGAACACATCTAGATGAAGTACATGAACATCAATTTCTTTCACACATCCATCAATTCATTATATTCATATTGCGTACGTTCTATTGCTTTTTTGTGGTGTATATTCCACCGTAAATACTCTGTTACCAAAGAGAGATTTTTCACAATTTCACATTCATAAAAAATTCAGATATTAAACGGAATGATTGCTTGCGAAAGTCTGAATGCAAAACACCGATGGAACAATACCAAAAATATGTACTGGGTTGGTAACAGGAACGTGTAGCGGACGTGCATTTCACTTGGTTGTAATTTCATAAATTCACGCACTAATATTATTCGTTCACGGAGCACCTTTTCTTCGTTCCCTATCACATTTGCGAAAAACTCTCATGACTCTTGATTGATATTATTTTTCACCTTGGTAAATGGCATTCTCATCGCAACGCACTCAACATATACGCTCACAATATTTATGAGTTAATATTTGGTTGAACGTGAGAGCTTCGGAACCAGAAATTGACTTGAATAACGGATAGATACAAGCAAAGAGCATTCAATTCACTGTTCAAATACACTTTATTTAGATGAACGGTGTATGAAGACGCTCGACATTTACTATATGGCATTTTGAACAGTCGAGTAATTTCCGAACATAAAATAAATCGTGCCAGTTTATTTCAGTATGACATGCTAATTTGCCACATCTTTTAATTTAAATAAGACGGTTTAATGATGTGTTCAGTCAAGGGATGTTGTATTCAACATAATGCCGTTCGTTAATATTTCACAGATGATTCATTCACATTTCATTATACTTCGTTCACGCGTTGATTGACGCTTTCAAATAGATAATAGCATAACTACATAAAATTCAATTTAAAAACTTTAATAATTACTATCTCTTCTCAAACTTTCTAGTGATTGTTCTAGTGTATGAAACTGAAATTCCACATAATTTACACTCCAAATAATCAGAGTCCAATGTGTTTGCTGCGATATAAACATTTATCATTTACCATGTCACACAAAAACTTCTTGAGTGAATTTCTTTTTTAATATAAAAACAAGAAAAAATTTCGGTGTTCGCTTGAACTGATTTGATGGGAAATCTGTCGCAGCAGTTGTTGACTGTAGAGTCTATTCCTTTACGACGGGTGGAAAAAAGATTAAAAATATCGACTTGAAACCTTCGTTTTAAACTTTTGTCATTTCACAACTTTTTTTTTTCAAGAGAAACTCAAGCATATACATGTAAGCTTGATCTTTGCGTATAAATTTACATTAATCAATTCCCTTCAGTTCAATGCGGTATTTGGGTTTAATTTGTTTATTTTTAATATTATTTGCTTCGCAAAACACATTTTCAAAAAACAAAAAACACCTAACCGCATCAATTTCGAACAGTAAGAGCTTTTTCTTGTTGTTGAAAGTCGGTTGACAAGATGAAATGGATCAGAAAATGTTAAAAAAGTGACTTCTATAGTTGGAAAATGCCATGGGTGCGATAAAAATTGTATGAAAAAAGAATCACACTAATATTTATCACATCAAAGCGGGTGATTTTAACTGTGAAATTTGTGTTAAAACATACATACTTTTCACTAAACGGCTTAAAATTAATAAAGTGATTTATATTTTTGTCACAGTTAACTTGACGGAAGTTCACTTTAATGCAATATCGAACATCGAATCGAAAACGGACAAAAGTGCGATATACTGTTGCCGTTGACGAAGACAAATGAAGACTAAATATTTCAAACCGAAGAAATTCTTTTTAAACGAAAAATCGCCGCCAAATTTCCCTTTTCTCCATCTTTGCATTGCCCCTTCGAGATAGCACTGGAAAAATAGAGTGGCGAAAAGCACATGGCTGTGGAATGAAAGCACCATCCAACGCTCAAAGCAAGTGCTGTAGAAACATGCAACAAATGGAAATTTCCCATCGTTGATAACACACCAGAACGTTATTCGTAACTCGAGCACTTCATATTTTATAAAAGAATTAATTTATATGATATAATTAATGATAACGATACCCACTCTTTTCACACACCGTTCACACAGCAACTGTAATATGCGGAAATTATAATAAATTGCTTTTTTAAAACACATTGAACGTTGCGCCATAACTTTTCGAGAGAAGGAAATTTTTTTATCAAGCTATTTGTCAAATATTTTACACCATTTGATAATTTTTCTCGATGTATGTCCCTTTTTTTAAATGTTTCGAATCTATCATCATTATCGTTCATTCAGTAAAGTAAATGAATTTATTTTTTGTGTAAAAATGCAACGAATCAATTAATTTTTAATTATCTTTATTTGATCTTGAACATGAACGAACATGACACGAATCAATTGATGACCATTTTTAGACCAATTGCATGTTTCTTTTTTGTACGCTATGTGTCCCAAAATTGCGTGTTCTCATTGGAAGCGGCACGTTCACTATAATAAACTTCGAAATGATGGCAACTTTTGACTAATTAAATCATCAACACGAACAATTGCTTTTGAATAACTGCCAGCACGTTGGATGATTAAGCAGAGAAGCGTCAATACCAGGAGTCCACTTTCTTTTAATTGACTATATTTTGTTTGAATTCGTGTTGTGCAAAGGAAATTAATGAATGCGACAATTAAACCCTCTGGTCAATAGCTCTAGATTCATGACACACCACAGTCTCAGAATGAAAGAAAATAAAACACAAATTTGGCTCAGCCATTTACTCGTTTAGTTTTGCCACTCACAATATGTAATAACAATCGATGAAAGTAAGTATGTCATTCCCAATCATATCAACCAAATAAGCTCGATTGCTTCGTTTTTGTCAAAAAAAATCGTCATCCTGGTTAGGGGTGAATAAAATTGTTTTAACTATAGCTCTGGAACCATGTACAAGTTTTATGTCATAATTACTGCTAATAATTTATCGATTCCGTTTAATTCATGCTTCCGGTGTTTTGCAAATCTCTATTACTTTGCTCGAATTGAATTAAAATTATTACTGAAGCGGTGAATTTTTTATTTTGATTTTCTATAATCAAAGTACAATGTATGTTTATGATGTAGTGTTCAACAATATGTAATAATTGTGTTTATAACAATATGTAATATTTTGATGTTTAACCATTAATACCCACAAAGTTTTGCATATCTCTATTACTCTGTTCGAACTGAATTAAAATGATTAAAAATGTTACTGAAGCGGTGACCATCTACAATGACATTTAAATTTATTTATCAACAATTTAATTTACTTTTTCATCAAATATAACTTACATTACAGAGTAAGTCAAGGTTCACATCAAAATATCCATTTGCTGATATGATAAATTGTTCATGATGCACATGTAACGAAAATTCTCGAATCAAATTATTTTGAGTTTCATTCTCTATGTCAATTGGAATGCGAAGAAGATTTATCTCAGTTAGACGTCCCTGTCAAAGAAAAATATTTCATTGAAAAAATTGTATTAACCTCACCATGGAAAATATCATACATTAAATCTACCTAGATATTTATAGAAGCTATTGCAATAGCGATGCAAAAAAGCTGGTATTTAACGCACCTCTTCGCTCAGACGCTGTGTATGCTGGACATAACAATGGTGTCATTGTTTGAATTTATTTAAAATGTTGAAGAAATGCAATAAATAGCAGCTATTTTTATATCGCTACAGCAATATCGAGCTAGATGTAATGTATGCTATAGACAGAATAAAAAAAATAACGTAAACTCATATAAATCTATGGAAAATCTTTGAAGTGAACAAAATTACAAATTCTTTCGCAGAAGATTTAATAAATAATTTTTAGCTTACATTTTGATAGCAAGACGAACAATAGAAAGGTAGACTGCCAAATATTACAACAGTGGGAACCAATAAAGTTGAAATAACTATCACACTCTCAAAGTCAGATAGACTTAAATAGCCCCAATAACAATCCAAGATAAAATTAACAAGGTGTTGGACAGTTATTGCCAGCAAAGATGTTCCAAATATTTGATTGATTAATTCACATGATTCGTTTAGCTCTTCGTATATGAATTTCAAGATCAAAACTCGTTCGTAGATTAACATTCTTGTCGAAGCCAATTTGGATTTTCTGTCACGACATCTATTACTTTTCTTGTCGTCTACAATTTGAATTCTTTTCAATTCGTTATTAATCAAAATACAACGTGACCGTACTAAATAAACCCAAAATAATATTTGAATCAATCTGAAACGGATAATCAAATTTACAAATACTGAAGGATACAGAAACTCGAAATAAATTCCTTTAAAGTGTGAATGTACGATGAAAAAGATTGATACAAAGAAAAAAATTAATGCAAGTGTAAAACAGCGTACAAATATTTTGCATTTTTCTTCTCGATATGGAATCAAGATTTTTAACTTTGAATGAAATAATTGATCAACATTTGTAAATTTCTGAATAAGTTTTACTTGAGACTCTTTCTGGACAAAAGATTCAGTAATAACAATCAAGTAGGTCAATATCATCAAAACATGGAATATGTTATGAACGGAACTTTCAATTGAGTTAAATTCATAAAACTTGTCCAAAAAATATATAGAAGAACAAATCAGCCCCAATAAAATTGACAGAAAAAAACACGCTTGCAGTCGAAATTTATGATTGAAGCTACTCCATGTCGTACACAATCCAAGCACTATGAAAAACAAAAGGAACTTTTCCATTTGCTTCAAAAACATTATTATTTTTTAATATTATTAGAAAAACTTTGAACGAATGTATAACTAGCGGATAGATTGAATGCTGTCTACGTTCTGAAGTTGAGGCATAATTTGGTGTTTGTGTCTTCCTTTGTCAATTCATTATCATTTTCATCATATTTCATTTTTATTTTAAGTGGATTGAAACAGGCCAACCTTGGCTTTTAAAAATATCAATACTTTCAAGTCTCTCAAATTCCGATAGAAACTTGACTCTAGGAAACAGATCCAAAAGTGAATTCAAAAATAATTAAATATATTTTTTTAATCGATCGATACTCACAATGTATACTCGTAGAACACCCTTGCACCTCAGAATTCAATTATTATTACATCATTAAGCAAATAAATGTAATTCTTATCAGTTCATTCATCTAACTGATGTGAAGTCCTTATTTTGCCATGCTGTTGAATTTAATTTCATTGATATGTTATCCTCAACAAACATAAAAAAATCACCCTGCAATTGCCGTATTGCATTTGCAACACGCACTGTGAACGCAATTCAAGCAAACTTAGATCTACTGAGTGTTTTCTTTAATTTGAGCCATTCAGTATATCTGTACCATTCATATTGGAAGTAAGCCAAATTAGTGACTCACAAATTCTATTCAATTTTATGATGCAATTGAAAAAAACCTTTCGAAATTAAAGATTATTCAAACTATATCAGTAGTGGATATCATAAAAAAGATTAGTTTTCGTTAATTTTAAAAACATAGATTCATTGGTTTGCAATTAAGAACTGGTAATTTGTAGTGGAATCAAGAGTTGATAATTTTTCTTAACGTATTGTGTGTATGCTGATTTTATGTTGAAAATGATTGAAGAAAACAACTAAATTCCTTAAACAAATCAAAGACGTTTGTAAGAATTGAGTTTCTCCAATTTTAATCGATAACTTATTTCAATACACTCATATTATATTTTGATTTTTTTTTTAAATTTATCTAATCGAGACGCAAACATTGTAATTTAAAATCTTAAAAATAAAACTTTGTTTTTAAATGCTACATTGGAAATTGTAACATGTAAAGGAAGGAAGAAAAACATCTGGCGTAAAGAGCAAGTCGAACGCAAAAATAAGTCATACGATGAAAATAAAACAATAATTGTTGGCATCGCTTTTATGTTCCGCATTACATCAAACGCTAAGAGTATTGTAAACCCAGTGCTTGTACTCACTTGTTGATGTTCACAATCACACCGTGTGTATTGATCAGATTGAACGTTTTTTCAAACATACTTGTGAATGTGTGTGCATAGACCATAGACTAAAATCTTAGCTTCTCACTACTACTTCAGCATTGGTTATTATATGTGTTGTTCGTATGTATGCGATGTGTGTTTCATATTTGACGTCTCGTTCATACACCTTTCGCATGTGTTTTTTTGGGTTACATACGTCGTCTAGATTTCATTCTTGTCATTCTCGTTTATTCAGTGGCCAATACAGAATCGAGCCTCAATTTTCAACATTTCAAGTTCATTATTGCGAATTTTTCGTGGCGTCGACAACAGTGTGGCATACTGGTAGTGAGTATAAATGGTTGCATAAGTAGAGCGCCTGATTAAGTTTTCGTTTGTATATTTTTAGACGACCGATTGATCCGAAATTGTTTGACGAAAACTGCATTTACCAACGATCGTACGAACACAAACTGCAATTGAAAAAAAAGAAAAGAAAAAAGTGATTCTAAAAGAGGGAAATAGTCAGTCTATTTTTAAATTGATTTGTGTTTATTGCGGAAGAATTATTCATCAACAAAACAACGCCATAGACAACAATCGTACTCAGTCAATCGACATACAGCGAAGTGAAAGCACGTATCACGCTTATCTTATCAATCGATAAATCATCAAAGTTTCCAATTAGAACTGTTTATATTGTCAACAACTGTGATAAATAATGGCGACCCCAGCTGCTAATGTTTTGACAAAGGCCTCATTTCCAACCAAAGTTTATCAATTGTTGATTAAATCAGCCGAACCGTTTGTACCAAAAAAACTACAACCACTTTGGAATCATCCAGCAGGTAAATGGCATTGCGGCGACAGTTCACATAAAATTCAATTCATAATCGACGAATTCAATTGATGCATTGTATTTTAATCTTATTAACTTGCCTATTAAACAAATCTAGTCAGCTTATTTCAAGGTTATAATTTTGCTCGTTGATAGCATGTGCGCATGCCTCTGTTTACATAACAAAGGCGAATCATTGGATTTTGAATTGGAGACTACGGAAAGTACGTTGCAAATTTTTTTAAAATCCAATTTTGTTCATCATTTCAGGTCCAAAAACAGTGTTTTTCTGGGCACCAGCATTCAAATGGGTATGTATCGAATGACTTTATACTTTATCGATTTGTTCAATGTGACCGAAAAGTATTACAGAGATCACGATGAGACACCATGTGCTTATCATTCATTCTTATCAATGCTTGATTCTCACATAAAAATTTTTTCTTATAATTCCAATAGAGTTTGGTCATCGCTGGTTTGAGTGATTTATCACGACCGGCAAACCAGCTATCCATCGGTCAGTCTGGTTCACTTTTGGCAACCGGAATCATTTGGTCACGCTATTCATTGGTAATCATTCCGAAAAATTACGGCTTATTCTCGGTGAATGTGTTTGTTGCATTGACTCAAATCATACAATTGGCTCGTGCTTATAACTACTCAGTAGAAGAAGCAAAGGCCAAAGCACAAGAAGAAGCATCTGCAGCTGTCACAACCACAACAAACTAGCCTTTTCCATAGTGCAATAGTACAGTAGCTCAAACACACATTTTAATTTTTTTTTATTTATCGTGATAAGAACAAAGTCAAACAATATGATATAATCCAAGTAATAGATATGATACAGAATTGAAATAAGAGTGGACATACCGCTGTTATCATTTGCAAATCGCAATGACAATTGTACTAAACAACAAATCTGGTGCTAAATGCAAACAAAGATTTTCATTCTTATCTAATTTAAACTTGAGGTTTAAACAAAATCTCACGTCGCTGTTCATTTTTGCCTTGCAATTTAACGAAAAAAGAAATCGAAACGATTCGTTTAATATTAGTTAATTTATTAAATTGCATTGAGCTAGCTCAATGCACGTCGAATCGCACACACACAAACCAGTTGACTATCTTCGTAACGCTCAATGTTTGAGCAGTCGAACAATACATTTTTTTTGTTGTTATTGAATTAAAATAATTATCTAACATGGTAGTGGTTAAATGGTTTTTGAGAATCTGAATTCAAAATTCAATACTTATATTGAATTATTTATTAGTGTCAAATATTGTTTTTGTACTGTACATAAAATTTATGGACGAAAAGGGTGCTCAAATTTGATATTCATTTGTTAATTTTCTGCACTCATTTTCTAGATTTAAGTTGAGGATTTTATCCAAATTGTACAATCAAATCAAAATGGTTTTATTTTCTTGGTTGAACTATTATAAAGAAATAAAGACGAAATCATTCATTTTTATTCAATATCGTTTTTAATTATATCTCAATAGAAAAGAGATTAAAATTCCACATTTTCTAGAGAAAATCATCGTTTAATTTACCAAAATTCATTGTGCAAACTCATTCCCGTGCCAAAACGACGAATTATTCAATTTCCAACAAAATTTTGTTTGGGACATTAAAGTTGGCAACACTGTAATATTACCGCTCCATACACAAAAAATGACATTTCATATCACTACAGTCAAAACAAGCGATAAATGTTTTATTTACATTACATACAAAACATTCTATTGTAGTGTGAAGACACTTGTGCATGGTTCGATTTCTATTTTTTTACATCTTTTGTTTGCGTCGTTTTTTTTGTTAAAGTGAAGAGTGATTTATAACGAATATTCAGTCAAGATAAGGATTTCTCGGCATCATTTAAATACTCGCAAAGTGATAACACTTTCATCTTGATTCAAAAACAAATCTCGAACAAAAGTGGTTTGATAAAGAAAAAACACTAACTTGAATTATTCGTGCTGGAGTACTGAATATTCGATGTTTGCATAATTAATGCATTCACATTAGCGAGCAAATAGAAACCAACATTATTTGAAAGTAATCATACCATAGAAGGCCAAATAAAATGTCTTTGTCTAAGCCACTATTTGATGCTCTAAGTTTTTACTTGGAGCAATTATTTATGCATCCACTTCGGACAAAATCAATAACCAGGTATAAACATTCGAGTATATCACAACTATTTTTTTTTTATAATCTATTTATAGAAGTGCTTACCTTGTATTCTTTTGTTCTTACTCAAATTTTCAGCTGCGTCTTGGCATCCAGTGCGAATTTTGTCTCGCAAAAAATCATCATGGGAAACAAAGAGATCAATCAACAGAATTTGTTTGCATATGCACTATTTGGGTAAATATTTTTCGCTTTTTATTTTAAAATTGCAATTAATAATATTTGTGTCATGAAATTAGGTTGTTATTCGGTGGATCAATGCCGCACTTTTTCTACAAAATCATGGAAAAGACATTGGTTGGACGAACCAAGCTGAATCAATTTCTATTCTTTGGTTGCGAACGCTTAATATATACACCAATGTTTCAAGCATTATCACTATTTTTCTTGTCAATATTCGAGGTGAGCAAATGAGAGTTCAATATTGAATTTGATTCTAATTCCATTGTGTTGCCTTTTTCAGGGTAAAAGTCAAGAAGCAGCCTTACAAAATTTGTACACTCTCTATTGGCCTGTTCTAAAAGCGAATTGGTCATACTTATCACTGCTTGTGTTCATCAACATCAAATTTGTACCACCAATTTTCCGTGGTAAAGTCCATTTTCCAAAACAAAAACTTTTTTTTTGGTAAATTTCCTTTTTTGTGTTTTGCTATAGACAATTTTTTTTATTTTGCAGTGTTGATCGGAAATTTAATTGGTTTTGGCTGGGTGATTTTCTTGACGATGAAACGCCGAAAGTTGCAAAATCAATTGGACACCGCAAATAATACACGCATCATTGTGACCGATAGTGATTCAACCGCAAGTACTGGCGCAATAAAGAAAAGACGAGGCAAAGATAGCAACTGAGCGTCGTGATTTACCACACTTCACTCAACGCCAACTGATGGTTTTTGTGATACTATTATTCAAAAATCATGATATGGATTTCGGTGATGGAATTTTCTACGATCAATTTTGAATAGTGCCTCAATTTTATTAAGTAAATTCCATTTTGCATGAATCGTTGTTTTTAGTAAATTCCATTTTTTTGTTTTATGTTATGGACAATTTTTGATTTTGCAAAATTGTATGGTTATTTGTTAATTTTTTTTTTCTTTCGTTTAAGAAATTCACTGGGATTACATTTATTGTAAAATGAACAAAATGATAGACACATCAACAAATGAATTATTCAAATAAACTATATATTCTTACTATAAACTATATATTATTATTCAAATAAACTATATATTCTTTGGTATTATCGGTGATAAACAAAAATGTTTACAATTACTACTTCGAATATTGACTATGTGACCCTTGATCAACTTTTTAGATGACCACAATGATTTGTACAAATAATTGTCTTGGTAATATTTGTTGACGGTTTCTTTTATATAACATTTTATTTCAGAATGTCGTATTTTTATGGTAATGAATAAAAAAACAAACCTAAGCTATAAAAATAGATAACAAAACGTCAAGTTTGAAACAGAAGAATTGTGTAAGATTTTTATAATCTTATTGTTTAGGATTAAAAGATCAAATTTTTGTGTGAATTGTGTTTTAATAATGTTTTTTTTTTATAATTGGTTGTTCTCATATTCACAGTGTCATATATTCCATGTCGTTATTTGCAACTTTTTATTAGCAAATTCACGATAAAAATTTATTTTGCTCATTTTTTTATTGCACACTTTTTGATAAAATATTTCCGAAAAAATCAACATTTCTGTGCAATTTATTTGTCAAGTTGATTTTGATACGATTTCAAGTGAGAATTATTCTATAATATGATTGTTATCTATCAAGGCGATGTCTTCACCTATGTTAAGACCGGGAAAAACAGTAATCTCAACATCTGCTGACAAATTAATGCGATCTATTGTCATAGCACCACCATCTGTATAAAAAATATCCGTCAAAATAAAAAATTTATGACGACAATTGAAAATTCATAGTTGAACACTTCAATTGAAAGAGAATACTTACTATCAAGAGGAAAAGTAACGCAAGCTCCGACGAACAGCAGCACAAATAAAAAGAATTTCATGTTGATTACAAGTTTGGCTGTTTCAACTGAATGATTCGCCAAATTTAATACAAATTTATACAAATTTTATAACACGAAACTCACATTTGCTCAAAAGAAATCTGTTTCGAATTATGGTTAAAATATATTTTTACCAGAACAAATCGAATTTAAATTGTTATTTGCAAATGACTACACAAACAATTTTCAATTATTTATTATTTGCAGTGGGTTATTCGGGAAGCAATTTTGTTTGCTTCTGTGTCTGAAGAACAGAAATAAATAAATGTGACCACTTTCAAATCTTCAGACGACTTAATAATTTTGTCCATAGAAACAGTGCAAGTGCGTATTACTTTGCAAGACTTTCATTTATTTTGCATTTTATTTGGACAAATGTTTTATATAAATAATTATCACAGCGGATCATCACCTCGACAGAGGTTTTTTATTTGATGATATTTATCTCCTAAAAATTTAATAAAAAAACAGTATTCGCAAACAATAACCATATATTAAATAAAGACGATCGTAATGAAATTAAATAAAAAAATATCAATTTGAATTCACCGTCATTGACGGATAAATTCAAACCAATTCTAAACAACACTGAAATGATTCATTACCGCAATGTTTGAAACTTATTATGCCATTTTTGTTTTTTGTTTTAAATCTAAACCATAAATGAACGTCCACACATCCAAATTGTACAATTTATAAAATGGTTATTCGACTGCAACACTTTTCAAGTGCGGAGCACCTTTGTTCTTCGTTGTTACATGCTTGACCCAATGCATTCCTGTTTCTATTGGAGTACGTGGCTGATCACGGAATCTATCAGATATTAACTTTGCATTCTCTGCATAGCTGAAAATCAACGTGAAAAGTGTATGAACTAATGAACTTCAAATTTCGTCATATATTCTTATTCTATTACCTTGATGCATTACCTTGATACACTAAGTACTTTGTCAACAGCTGCGGCAATGTTTCCCGCATTTAAAGTTTCAATCGGAACACTGATTCCAAAGCTTTTCTGTTCGGCCAATTTCATGTTAAAGTGTGGATCAAAGTAAAATGGAATACCGACTATGGGTTTGCCAAAATGAACAGCTTCTGAAAATGCAAGAAACCCTCATTTGCTAACAGTTTTGATTTTAAATTCATATGTATATTTTACCTGTTTTACTCAATAGACCGCCATGCGTTATAAATAATCTAATACGTGAATGTGCCAAAATGGATTGTTGATTGAAACATGGTTCGACCAGAATATCAGATTCCTTATGCGATGAAATTGTAATTTTTTCATCACTTTTGATCAAAATTCGAACATTTTGATACGATTTGAATGCATTGACGATGGCATTGAACTGATTTTTGCTTAGTTTAGTTATTAGCACGCTAGAGCCAAGAGAGACAAAAATAGCTCCTTTAACCGCTTCATCCAAAAATGTTTGTATTTTGAGGGGCAGTGGCTCGATGTCTTTTTGTATTTGCATACCACCGACCACAATCATATTTGGAGCATACGGACGTGGAGTACCTAACGTTGTGTGCGTATTCAACAGAACCAGCGATACATTTCTTCTGATCTCTTCGAGATTTGGCCAATTTTTGGCTTCAGGAAACAGACTTTCCATTAGTTTTTGTTGCTTCAGTATGAAATAAATAGGATGTGCCAAGTCTTCAAACCTAAAACACAATGAATTGTACATTCGTTGCCAAAATGTCATTCGATTGGTGTAGCTATTGAAAGTAAATGACACATAGGAAGCAATATTTTAATCCAAAAAATTATTTTTAGCCGTATCTGCAGAAAAAGAAAACGTGTTTTTTTTTTGTAAAATTTCATAAGTGAATATTATCATTCAAAAAATTTACTCATTCGACAATTCTCAAGAGAATGTTCCAGTAAAACTTCTTTATAGTTTTTTATCGGGTTCTTCTCCATAAATGGACTAATTACAGTCACTTCATGGCCATGGACATTCGAACAGTCATTCGGACATTTACATAAAATATTCGGACGAACGACCGGAGGTCAAACTTGTTCGATGAGACCTTGATGGCCATCTAACGCCAGACCTTTCATAGTGTGATCTCCATGGAACTGGAAAAACTCCCAATATTTTGTAATTGATCACATTTTGACACAGAAAACCGAGTATTAGCGACAATTTAAACAGACACATTTTAACATGCCGAGTTTTACTAACCAACAGATGATTTTTATGAGTGAACTGGTGACAACCAGAGTACATAATCATAATCAGCATTTCAAAGTATAATCTTTCATTAATACGCATTTCATTATCTGCTAAGATTGCCGAAACTATTGCGCCTATATTTTTTGTTAGCTTTCGCCTTGAGCGGAGATGCAATTCATATTTATGATACAACGTGATAGCGCAATCATCAGAAATGAATGCACCATAGTGCTCATCTGTGAATTTTGGAATGCGTTATGTTGTTAAATTATATATGTCTCTTCCAATATAGTTAATGATTACAACTCCGTCAACCGAAATACGTTCAATTATTAATACCAATAAAATGTCTGCATTTGACTTCTATTGTAATTATGATGTTCATTCAAACGTTAAATTTTAAGCCCGAATTTTTAGACAAATTAATGCGATCTATTGTGATAGTACCACCATCTGCACAAAAAATACCCGTCAAAATAAAAAAAATTATGACGACAATTGAAAATTCATAGTTGAACACTTCAATCGAAAGAGAATACTTACTATCAACAGGAAAAACAACGCAAGCTCCGAATTGAATGATTTACCAAATTTTATAACACGAACTCACATTTGCTCAAAATAAATGTGTTTGGAATTATGGTAAAATACATTCTGAGCCGTATTGAAATGTAATCATTTCATTTGAAGTCTATTTTGCATTTTATTTGTACAACTGAACGCTCTAGAATAAAAACAACGTACAGAATGGTTGTAATACAACAACAAATCTATGTTAAAATAACGCCGTGTTCCGCTTTGATATAACAACCATTCAGTACGTTGTTTTTATTCTGGAGTGTTCAAATGTTTCATATAAATAATTATCACAGAGGACGGCTGTACACACCCATTCAATATGCATAATCTTTGCATTTCATTCGTATGAATTTGCTTGCAATAATAAACATTGTATATAGTGAACAAAATATGAATAAATATATATGTCATTGTTTGTTCATGGCTGAACATTATCTTAATTAGTTTATTACTTATTTTTGTGTTATTGATTTATGTTTTTTTTCCACCTTCAATCAATTTTCAAAGTCACTTCTAAGCACGTACTTTTTTGTATATAAGCAGGCTCGTTTAAATAAGTAAATCAGTTCTGTTTTATAATCCAATTATTGTGCACGTATAGAGAACATTGTTGCATTTTTGAATACTCCGCATCGACGATAGACAAAACTAAAGCTGCATTTCAATTTGAAGATGGAATCGCTAAAGTTTATTTCAATTTTCTTTTTAATAATTGTTTTGTAGTCAAAAGTGAAGCGATAACTGGTGATTTCATTATCGAACAAAGATTAATGACTCAATATTGTCACAATGCGGCTATTATGTGCCAAAAAATAGCGGTGAAAAAGTGTTTTATTGCTCCGGTGGTATTGTCTCCCAATACGGCGTTCTGACATCGCTAGATTTCCACAGAGACTTAGAAAATCTAAATTGTATAAAAAAAATTGTGCGAGTCGGTAGTGTCGATATCTCCAACGGCACAGAGTATGAGATTGAAAAAATTAAACCATATCCTTACACTTCAAAATACGTTTAAATTGCTGTTGTGAAAATTAAACGACCATTACAATTAAATAACTACGTTTGCAAATTAGACATTATTAGTGAGTTAATATGACAGGTACCTTAGTAGAGGTTAGTAAATTTATTAATTTTTACTTTCCATTTTTTTATTGTTCTGAATCAAGATATAAAAAAATTAAATTTAATTAAATGTTCAAATAAAATATTCTAATATTTTTATTTATACTTTAACGAATTTCAAATCGAATTATGTGAATATTTTTATTTGATTACATCAAATGAAATTATTTTATTTTTAAATTTGATTGATCAAATAGTATACGTTTTCAATTTTCATGAAACAATATTTTCTTTCATATATTGTGCTTATTGTGAATTTTCAATAAATCCATAATTGTAATTACATTAAAATCTCATTTTGCTACAGATGAGTGGGTATGGACAAGACGGCACGAACAAAGAGACAGCTGGAAAATTAAGAGGCGTGGAGATGAAGGTTATGAGTAGATTGGAGTGTAATGATATGATCTGGAATATATTCGACAACAAAGTCTCCCAGAGAGTGATTTTTGTTTCCGAACCAAAGACGTAGGAATACATGGTAGCGACGGTGACCAGGGTGGTTAGTTTTTTTTTTATTAATATTTTTTACCTTTTTTAAAAAATAAAGATATCATCGACTTAGAAACGTCAGCCAGATTAAAAGATTTTGAAACATGGATATTTCAACAATTATCAACTATGGAACATGTAAGTTTCATTGAAAAAAAGAGCAATTTTGATAATAAAAATTCTCTTTTTTCGTTACAGAGATCCAATGACATAGTAAAAAAGAATACACGTAAGTTTTTTTTTTAAATAGGCCCTAATGAGCTATGTGAAATGTTTTTCATAGATATTATGCATATGGCGTGGGTGGTGGCAATTTCAATAAAAAACAATTTTTTTTTCTTTTTTTCGTCACAGGAATCCAATGATATTGCTAAAGTCAAACCCGAGGGACCGCAATATCAACGTATTTTGAAGTGTACGGATATGGTTTAATTACTTCAATCTCATACGCTGTGCCATTAGAGATATCGACTCTACCGACTCGCACAATTTTTTTTATACAATTTAGATTTTCTAAGTCTCTGTGGCAATCTAGCGATGTCATAACGCCGTATTAGGAGACAATACCACCGGAGCAATAAAACACTTTTTCACCGTTATTTTTTTGGCACATAATAGCCACATTGTGACAATATTGAGTCATTAATCTTTGTTCGATATGAAATCACCAGTTATCGCTTCACTTTTGATTACAAAACAATTATTAAAAAGAAAATTGAAATAAACTTTAACGATTCCATCTTCAAATTGAAATGCGACTTTTCTTTCAAAAATGCAATAATGACTGAATATTTATTTCATATTTTCTTCACTAAATACAATGTTTATTATTGCAAGCAAATTCATTTGTAACAAAAATAACAAGAATTTGCTATTTTAATTTCGCAGGGATATACAATCGTTAAAATTCTTTTTTATTGAGTTGGTACGATATGGTATAACAACCTAATAGAAAAATTTTTTACGCGGAGTTGAAACGACAAAAATTTCGTACATAATCAAATGTTGATAATAATAATATTAATAAATTTAACCTATTTATTAGAATTAATCTTTGAATGAGTTTTTCAGCATCTACCCATAGGCATCGTTTCGTTTCCCTTAATAAAAAAAAACAACTGAATTGAAAAAAGTGTTGTTTGTAAATGACAACTGTTAGCTGTAGTGTTTCAAATTCCAACAAACAATTAAAATAAAATAAATAATTGAACAAATGTTGGACAAATCACAACACGCATACAAAAATTGTTGAAATTTTAAACATTTGCAAATTCTACTTGTCATTTTAGTAGCCTGAGTTTTTACATTGCATCTGTCATGCAGACATTATAATGAGATGTTTTCAGCCAGATGATTCAGCTCAGCCAGATATCGTCAGGAGCTGAAATTTAGTAAAAACTATAGAAGTGATTGTTATGGTTATAATTACACTTACATTGCTACAATCACTATAACAATCACTTTTATTGTTTTCACTCCATTTCAGCTCCTGATGATATCTGGCTGAGCTGATTCATCTGGCTGAAAATATCTCATTATAATGTCTGCTAGCAGCTGTCATGAATAATTATTAATAAAACATCATAACACTTGTAAACTGACCATTATATATCTGGAAAATGCCGAAATTTTTACAGCTCCGTTATACGATGTGTAAATTGTGTCACCATCTGACACTATTCCTAATAGCAATGGTTCTCCGTTAGGAAATAAATTGTTTTTTCTTCTAACAATCAACGGAGCTAAATGAAAAAATATATAAAATTTAAATTGTTTAATTTGTTTTCTAGTCTTTTTGAATTTTTGACAACACATTTTTGTATTATATTTTTAATGGAAAATTTAATCATTTATTCGATGCTTTTTGGCACAAAATTTGATATGAAGTTAGCTAAGAAGAGAAAAATCGACAAAAATTTTATCGTTTTTTTCGACTGTCTTTCTGCTGTTACAAGGCATGTTTGTATGAAACTCTCCCGAAAATATTACTCTCTTAACTTGAGAAAAGTAAGTTCTCTAATAATAATACAAATGGTTTTTCCGCGAAATTATTAACAATTGTGCAAAATCTGATTTTCTTTTGTATTGCCCATGCTATACTAAAGCAGGCGTTCTTGCGGGTGTAAAATTAATAAAAAATAAATAACAAACTTCTTACCTCCCTCTATATTATATAATATGCCTTCTCTAGGGAAATAGAATCGGGGACATGTTTCAGTGACATTGGATATCGTTTTTTTTATCCAATGCAACTCTCTGGTTTTTGTTGCTTCTTTTTTGCTGGTATCACAGCCAATAATTTCAACATTGGCTCCAATTTTTACAAAAATGTTGTCTCTCTTTTCGGCTAAACGTATTGGGCAAATCGTTGGACCCAATGGTAATGGCTCTTTGAGTGTAAACACAATCAAATCAAGGCTTGCCACATCTTCAAATTCAATTCGAGTGCTTTCTTTGTACCAACTGCTTTCTGCTATATGATCGTTAAGTTGATAGGGTAAGTGTTTAAAACTGGCTACTTGTCTAATAATTCCCCCATTAAATCGTTCTAATGAACCGACTCGCACCGATATATTTTTTGACTCATATCAATGAGAGGGACCTTCTCTAGGAGGACAATCCCAATATCTTATACATTTGAAGAAAGTTAGAATTTGCGTGGAAGAGATTATTGCTCCGTTGCAACGAGTATCTCCCTCTTCAAGTAAAATAGATGCATGAAAACAGAATTTTGGCAAATCAGACTCCAACAGTTTGCCAAAATATGTTTCGTTCTCTATCGCGACAAACAATGGCACAAAAGTGAACAGTAAAAAAATCAATTTCATTTTTTAAAGATATTGATTTATATAACTGGAGTGACACTTGTAATTTTCGGATCTTTTTCAACTTATTCGAAATTCTTTTGAGAACTAAGAAAATGTGCGTTTTGTTGCGACTGAATCCCAAATACGACTGATTTAAGAAGATTCAAATGAAATATTTTGATTCATACAGAAATAACTGTGTGCGATCTCCATACAATTATTTTTAATTGAATTATTGCAGAAAAAGCGGGCAATTTGACCAAATCAAAGTTAATTCAATAAATATTCATTACAAGTTCAATATATGAACTAAGCTATACAATC